TACAGCTCGTGGAACGCGTATCGCCGACCAATTAGACGCGAATGCGGGTCGTAAGCTTTTGAAATTATAGATAATCGAAGTATCGGTTCGTTCTTATTTCCTGCCGGGCACCAAAAAGGTTGAAGACCTTTTTCTGTGTACCTTTCGACGGAAGATTGTAGATCACGGGCGTTAGAAAGTGGCGTCAGCTAAATGAAAGGCTCCGGCGCCCGTCGAGTTGGGCATTATTTAATTGATCCTGTTATTTATTTCCGTTAAAGTTACTTTTCTCTACGCCTTGGTTCGTATTAAAATATCAAGATCATCGTTCCGTTTGCGCCGAAGGGTCCTCGAGTTTATTATTTCGAGCGATGATAAGTTTGGCTGTGACGTCAGCCATCGGTGGCCATGATGGAACACGACAAACGAGTAGAATTTCACGGCCCACAGAGATGATAATCGTCACCGGTCCTCCCGCGTCTCTGTTTCGTACCTTGCGACACGCACAAGGCGATCTCAATTAAATAAACTCCCTGGTATGCTCCCGGTCGGAATAAAAGTTCTGTTCAGTTAAGGTCAGTGGGTCGGCTACGTATCAAATGAAATATACGAATCCAAGTCTGACCGAATTGCACGAAGGACGAGGCGCGTTAATAATGCATGCGGCATACATAGTCCACCTCGTACCCTGTAAATCTTGTCAATGGCGCCTGACGCGTCCGTGACTGGGGTGCGCGCGATTTCCCTCCTTCTTCTTCGACATTTTTTCATTATTTTTCATTCTCTTCCTTTTCAATTACACTGCTCGCGGGCTCCGACTATCGCGGCATTCGATTCCTTTGACGAGCCGCGCGACTGGTATTGAATCCCGCGACCGCGACCAATCCATCCCGTGGAAAACCACAACGGGGCAATACTCTTTTCGGGACGATCGACGTCGATTGCGTCCCGTTACGCGCGCCTCGACGACCATCCTCTGTTGTTTTTGACGGGCTTTCATGGAAATTAAACGCTACGGGAATCGATGTCGCGCACGCCAAACTTCCACCCACTCGAGCGAACCTTTTGATCGTGATCGATGAATTATTCCGTCTCTGGCAGAAATTAACGGGAACGAACGTATCGCTTTAACGACGAGGGCAGTAATTATTCCAACAAAACGATACTTCGTCGATATATGAATTATTCCTATAATTTTTCAACGGAACGTAAACGTTCGCGAAGTCGGTCCAACAAAGCCGGTTTAGCGAAGTTGCATCGCACGTATTTTTAAATTACACGTCAAACTCACCAGCCGGTATTACTAGAAGCATTTTTCAAACTGGTATTCACGATATCTCAACGCTCATTTAATTGATTGACTCGAAACCACGTATGTGCTAAGTTACACGCCTAGTTGTCGTGTAAATCGGGATTAAGCGTTCGGCGTTGTAAACTCGTGTCATTATTACGTAACGTATTCTCGAATATCTGTAAAAAAAACAAATTGTATCGCCTTCTGGTAAACGTTTTAGACGTTTCACGAGTACGCGATGCGCTCGATGACCAAGAAAGGTGATTGCACCGTCGACACGATTGGCACGGTTCCACGGATCGCAATAAGCGAAACAAACAAGTCATCGAAGGGTGTAGCCCCTATCAAAATAAAAGGACGGACGCTTCAATCGTCGAAAAGATGGCGGAAGATCGTAATTGTATTATTGCGCGAATAAATCGTTGTCAATCGCCTGCACACGAGCGCGATTTACGTCGCAGGTATACGCGGAAGCCTGGGAAATGACGCAACACAGATTCCGCGCGATCGTTGCGATCCGCTCGAGGGGGTGGAAAAAAAGGTATCGAGAACGCGATGAGAGGCCTCGACCTCGTGGAAACCGTGGCAAAGGGGGGAATATATTCTTTTTCCCGCGTAGCGAAACGAAAACAACCGGACTCCCGGGGTCCCGCGAATGCAAATTTCGCGTCGTTTCCGACGATAAAAACGAGGCGCAAAAACTGACGGGGCGCCTCTTCAACTCGTGCCCGGGACATTATCGCCTGGCGCTTGGCGTATCGAGAACCGGTTGCAGTCTTAACGTTCTGTAACATGTCGACAGGCCACCTACTACGAGTGCCTCTCTTCATTACGTACGCTCGACTGATAACAAACTTGGCCCGCGATGCGTTAAATACCTTCCAGGGTCAAACGGTCGGAACCCATTCGAGGAAAGTGCTTTGCTTTTGCCCCGAATTGATACGCCCCCGAGGCTCGTCGGACGTTGGATAGTTTAGGATAGTTGATTCCCCAGCCCTTTGACACCAAAATATGAAACTGCTCTCTGATTTCTACGACGCGAAAATTAGAGAAGCTAATTACTCAAAGTGGGCCTAAAATTTAGATCCCCCCCCCCGTAATCAATGATAATGATAAGCTCCTTTGTCACGCGCAACGTATCCACCTCTGCGTCGTTGGTAATTTTTCAATGATACGATATTTGATAGTTTAAAGATCGTTGCGTGCCAGACGCGAATTTAGATATCTTAAAATACCGTACGGATATTATGTAAAATCGAGAGGAATTCATGCGTAATCTCTGTTATTCGAATAATAAAATAACGTGGCTGTAGTAACAAGAGTGAGAGGTATGCTTGGTATCGAGAATTTTAATTAAAAAACGCGTCTTCTGGCATAAACTCCCGGGCATTTCGTTCGTTTCGTTTGCTACTCCCTTTCGATGTTGAATTCTTCCAGTTTCGATTTAGACGCGGCCGGAGCGGTAGATTTTATTGCTGGTCGTTCAACGTGCTCGACCAACCGTCACCGGTTCTAGCATTTCGCGTAGAAACGCACAATGAGATATCTCCCCGGCATCGAATTCTTTTTTTCGATCGTTTGATCGCCGCTCGAACAATACTAGGCTTCCGTGGAAACTGCGCGCGAGAACGGAAACGGTTTCGTCGGCTGCATAAAGTGTATCTGTGTGCGAAACGTACTGTTCGAAACCATTAGAGCAGCGTTTTCCGAGTTAGGCGTGTAACATGCTCGAAAAAGGACGCGAAATGATACTTTTTTTTTATCAAGGATGGCGGCTTTCAAGCAGTTTAGAAATCACCGCGTTAGAAGATCCGAACAATTCGGGGGAATCGTGTCTCGGGAATGAAAGAAACGCTGCGTACTAAATCCTCGACATATTTGCATGTTTCAGCGTGGGGATATTAAAAGTCGTCTCTTCGAGTCTTTATCTCCTTCGTGTATCGTAAAAATTTTAATTCCAACTTCTCGCGAGCCGTAAATCGCATAAATTGTCCATTCGGGGCTTCGATCAACCATCGAGATATCAGATACTTTATCGTCGAAACTAGCAACGACTCGCGAATTATATTTTTTTAAAATACTTTAAAACGGGAAAAGAAACACAGATGCTCTTTTGTCCCTTCGAGCACAACGCGTCACCGTTTTTGTTCAGGTTTTTTTTACGCAACGGGACAAAAGGGAGTCTAGTTCTTTGTGACCTCTGATCTCTTTCAACCGGCAAAGTGGATTACGTACGGGGCTTTTGTAATTCGGGACACGCCCGAAAATTTTATCCACCTTCTGTACACGCACGGCAACCTCGCGGAAACTCGTTAAAAAAAGCCCAAACAGTGTTATTAAAAGTAAACATTTCGTACCAAAAATCATGGAAAACAGCTCTTAATTCTTGGTTACTGTTACTTCATAAGCGCTGTTGGTTGTAACTTTGTTTTCTCTTTTATCGTAGATTACTGTAAAATTTATCGCACCTGGGCAACGCAAACCGGTTGTAAGATACGGCGAGCAGATTGAATAATTATGAGTCTCTCGAGGGGAGTTTGTCAAATTTTACACGTTCTTTTCGAGGCAATTTTAATTCATTAAATGCTAATTGAAATTTCGAAACCTGCTCGAATCGAAATATCGTCTCCGGTTTACCAATAAACTTACTTACTCACGAGCGTAGCGATCCTATATTTTATTAAATTTGCATACACTAGCCGCTTGAATCGTTTGTGATTCGCAAAGAATGCGGCGTATTCGGATGTTTCGGGCGTTTAATGAAATTCTCGTGCGCATTCGGAGCATCGGGTTCGAGAGTTATCCGGGAACGCGGTCGAGCGAAATTCTCAAATCAAAAGGAAAGATACTAGAGCGCAGTGGGCCACGAACGATATAAAATAAGCGTATTATCACGTAAACGGATACGCCACGGAACCGTTATAGCAACTTGTATCGAAGATATACCGGGTACACCTTGCGCTAACCGATGTGCCCGCGTTTCCACGAGACCATTAACTTCTCGCGATCGGACGCGTACAATACGCGCGTTCTAAATCCTATCGATAAATCCCGATGGATCCAGCGATCCACTGGATCGTTAAAACCGTTCAAATAAAAATCGCTGTCGATAACGTGGAATAAAAACGATCACGGTAGAAAGAAAAAACGTCCGTTCGCGAGAAAAAAAAAAAAGAACTATTCGAAAAGTTAGTCGGCATTAACTGAAGCGAAAACACGCGGCGGGTGCAAGGCGGTGTGCGAGCGAGATCCAGTTATACTCGGGCTGTGTTAAAGATACGCTCTGTAAGCAAGAAACATAATCACAAAGAGCCGGGGGTATTACTGTTACAAAAGTTAAGGTCGCCATAACACGGCACGGACTGAAATATTATGCAACTCCCGTAGTATTATCCGAGAGGTCGGGAGAGGATCACAGGAAAGCAACTCTTTTCTCGGGATAAAATTGAATTCTTTACGCGAGCGAGATACCAATCGACACACACGGGCGTTAAAGCAAGTCGATATTATTCCGCCAGCGGCCGGAAGCTGGAGTGTCTCGTGTTACCTCTGTATTAGCTGGCCAGTATTGTAGCAACAATCACGTTACAAGCTCGTCTTCTCCGTTCACCGCGCTCGATCCCTCCAACGGTTGGTGTTCGAACGCGGTTCGCGGATCCGCCGAACGAATTATCGTAAACACTCTCAAAAAAACAATCGTGTGTTCTATTCTCGTTTTTTTTTGCAGATGTTTTGGCAAAGAATGTACCTTGCACTGGGACTGTTCGGTGTCCTGTTGCTCCTGACGAACGCTGACAACAGCGTCCACATTTTGTCAAAGTACCATCAACTGATCACCTCGACTACCCTCAACTGGCTGCCGCGCGCACACTATGATCCGTCGAGGGAAATAGTCGTCGGCGGCTTCGAGTTCGAAGACTCGGAGGGTGCGTACAAACTAAAGGAAAACGAAAAAAAAAACAAGAGATAAAACCGTAGACTGTTCGAAAACTGTTACGGGGCATCCGGGCGTTATCCGTGTCCTTTTGGACGATCGCCTCTCGATGCAGCCTAGGCTTCTCGACACGCGACGTCAGCGATGACATGGGTTACCACTTACACCACGGGCTCGAGCAACTTCCTTTCATTTTCTTTTTCGATACGATTAAAATCTCAACGGTCAGCATAAATATGTGAAACACGATCACCGAAAACCCAGTAGTCAGCTTTAGACCCCAGTCGACATCGAATTTTTTTTTATAAAGGACACGGTTTACGCTTGGTAGCCTCTAACAGTTTTACCATGCTCTGGTCCCGGACTGACGAAAGTTAATCGCGTATTGTTATGGAGAGATCAAATTTCTTTCGTCGACTCCGCGTTTCCTGGCTCGACGAAATGCGCGGGAACGCGGTTGTTCCCCTGATAATTGTCGACGACGCATCTTTTTCAGACGAGTCGTACAATCAGGCAGAAAAGTCGGAGAGAAAGAAGCCCCTGTACGTGTGCCGCGTACTGCACACCACCGTCTGGGTGGCTGGTAGCCAGAAAGGCGACGAGAAACGATGCACCGTCACGATTCACGGCAGCGTGCAGTCGTACGACAAATACGAATTGTTGGAGAACGTCGACAATGCCGCCCGCGTCAACTGGGAACACTGGGATAAATACAAACCGACTCCCATAGGAGCGGTGGCTACGGAAAAGATGTTCGTGGCGCGCCACGCGGTTCACAACAACAAAGAGGGCTCAGACGCCTCGCCGAGGTACACCCATTATATCGGAACCTTGAATTCAAACGACAATCTTGGAACTATCAGCTACGTGACAGACGTAAGTAATTGCTGCCCATGATTCCGTCTCTGGCCGGGTTGGGGCACGACGTTTAACGCGTTTGCTAAGAGATTAATGGTTACAAGCTTTTAACGTGTTCCGTGGTATAGTAATCAACCCCCAACCCGGCAGACGGGGATCTCAAGTAACCGAAACCGTTCTTTCAAACCGTATCTGATTAGCGAAAGTACTCGTACGCTTAAAGCTTCGAGTAAGTCCTATGTTTTACAAGACAATATTTACTGTAGAAACACGTGGACACGCAGGTGTACGGTTTGTCTTGTATCGTTTTCAACGTATCGTTTAGCCAACCCTGCTGGTTTCCCCGAATCACAGTACATGCTACAAAATATACAATGGGAGATTTTAATGAGAGATTCTAGAGGGCAAACTAAGACGAAAATCAATTATTGGAAAAATCTTGTTCTACTAGGATGGCACGGAAGTGACTGCAAAGTCGGGCGACGTTCTCGTCGAGACCGAACCGATATACTACGATTTGACTAGAGTTAAATTAACCTGGTCTAAAAAGCGTGTGATCAAGGCCACGCCGCTACAACTGGGTAATGCAACGATTTCCAATACCGGGCCGGAAGCTGCAAACATGGCGCAAGCTTTTGGATACACGTACAAGTATTCAGTGTACTGGGGGCAAGGGCACGCTATCTTGAAAGGCCTAAATACATCGATCACGTTGACGAACGGGACAGTTTTGCCAAAAATAGTTTGGGGTATAATGGAGACAACCGAACGTTCGGACGTACACACGTGAGTACACCTTCGGATTTAATAAATATTAAACTCGGTTTGTTATTGCATTCGGTTTTATTGTCTGTACAGGTTGGAGATATTCCTGGAGCCTGGCACAGGTGTGAACGTTACATTGAACGCCAATTATACCGACATGGAAGTACCCTACTCCGGAACATTAATCTCTCTCTATGAGGACGGTGAGACGAAATCACGCGTGATCAACGGTATTCGCAGGGAAGAGACTATGTTCGACATAAAACCAGAATTCGGACCTATTTACTTCTTAAGCAATAATAGTTTAGTTCCTACCACCACTGTACCGCCCACTACAGAAGCAAGCACTACCGCGATGCCTCGGGACACGAGTAAGGACGCGCGTAAACAAGATACGGATAACGAAGACCACGATGAGAACATGATTGTACCACCGAAGAAGTCAGACATGTCTAATATGCAAAGCGACGACGGCGGACCGCTGTCCCTTAAGAACAAGGTAGAAGTTTCACATTCTGGAACGTGTTTACACAGATTAAACATGATACTTATACCGTTCTTAACGATCATCGTCCATAGAAATACGTGAAAATACGACTCGAAAAATTCTAAATCCTAAGTTGCAATAGTAATATATTCGTAGAACAATATTGAAGAAAGATAACAAAAAAGAAAAAAAAAACAAACGAAAAGAAAAATGTTGCTGTAATTTCGTACATAGCAATTATGGCACGAAATAAAGCTCCTTGGTTAAATCGCTGATTGTCAGGCTGTGGTATCAGCACTGACATATGCTTGCCTTTCGAGAAAACTTGATATTTAATATATAATATATATATATATATATATACATAAAAATATATATATACACGTTTAGGATAGCAAAGAAATACCTTAATAATGAGCTAGTCTCATGACAATGTTAAGTACAAGCGATTGCAGCCAATGTAAATGTTAACACAAGAATTGTTAACATTACCTCTATTGTTGAATAACTGAATGTAACTATGACATTCCGTCTTTACTAATTCTGCTGTGAATCGATTTTCCAGCTAACTATTTTATGCCTTCGCAAAGTGTAATTCTAGATCTTCTAGAAGACTTTAAAAGCTTGAAAATGATGATATCTTCTTTGAGAAACGTGTTCAAAGAGAGTTATAATTACTGCAGGTATTATCTCGGGCAAAATAGCTTATAATGAAAACGAGTAAAATGAAAATGAAGGATAAAGATGCGCGAGTTAATGTAGCTATGATATATTTTTGAGATTGCAGTATAATTTTAGAAAATTGTAAGATTTATAAAGGTGTAGCAAGTAAGAATATGTAGAGTATAGGTGGATGGGTACAAGTATTTTTCAAAACTATTTTAATATCATTTCCATGACCGATGTAAATTTTTTATAGGATTTGCCATGTAGCGGTAATAGTAAAAATGAATGAACAATCTCGAGGATAAGCAACGATTTAACCGTGTACAGATTCTGCATAATTCCGAACAAAAATTTACATTCCTAAACTGTTAATATATTTAACCACCGAATGTAATTTCTGTTTTAAATTTATTCCAGTATTTTGTGTACCCATCTGTCTCACATGTAAAGTGATAGGGCTTGCAGATTCCTAGACGATTATTATTAATGGAAATTGTAATGGCAGAGGAACGCAGTATTTTAATTTGTATAGATATGTTAATAATTTATAAGGTACATTTCTTTGATAAGTGAAAGAGAAATATGGACTTATTTAATTCTGTGTCTAATTTAAACGTTTTTTAGTTAAAAGCATAACAAAGAAAATATTTTCATATATTCGCGTATTTCTGATCATTTTTACTTGAAATTATTGGTATGTATATAACATGTTTCTACATTCTGACTAGGTGTAATTGTTGTAAACTTATTTAACCGTTTATAGTTTGTCCTAACAATGGTAACAACATTGTATAATTATCATATTTTATTATATTGTAATATCGATAGAAGTAATATAAAATATTCATTTTGAACACGAACAGATGTCCATGGCTTTCTAACAGCATTTATCAAAGTAAGCCTAATCACAACATTGTGATATTCAGTAAAATTTTATGTAGACATAAAAGAATATAACATATTCTGTTAAATAATTTGTTAATTATCATAGAAAGCAATAATTTGTTGCGAGATTGGGACATGTGAGTTTTAGAATGATGTGTGATTAAATGAAACAGAAGAAAAATTAGGTAGAAGATGCAAGATATTATGATGTTTAATATTGTGAGCAATATTTTCTCATTGTGAATAAAGTGACGTAACGGACATGGCCCAAAACAATCGAATAGTAAGTTTACAGGATAAAGTTATGAAAGGAAAAAAGATAACCATAGAAAATTGATAGAAAATGAATACTGCTTATTTTTTAGTTGCTTCTTCATTCTCCTGTATACATTTGAGAAGATATTAAAAACTACAATGCAAGCAAATGAATTTAGTAATGCCAAGGACTGTCCTTAGCTTCTACGACCATCTGCATTAAACAAGTATGTTATTTGTGAATAATCTATTATGCTGTACATTATCATGTAAATATAAATGCTACATGTACATGTAAAAATGTATTCAACCTTCAATAATTTATGAATGCATGATACAAATTTTTTTTTATGTTAAACAATGCATACAACATTGTTAATTTTTCTTAAATAAAATTATTTGATCACATCCCCCACATACGTGTAATAAATAAACATTCAATTTTGTAACAGTAGAAGAATTTTTTTTTTTGAAGTAGGAGTTAAAAAAATCAACAAGCTACCAGTCATTACTTTTCATATTAATCTTATCTTTGCATTTTAAAATGCAACATAGTACTGTAAACACGATGGATTGAAATAGTTTTAAATCTATTAAGTGTACAGATAATTGTAACAAAGTCGACTTACCAAGGACACCATACTGCTGTGGACCAAGCCTCCCATCGCCATCTGGACCTCCTGGAACAGAGGATATAAGCGATACATGTTCGCTTATGTGACTCCTACTGCTAGCTTCACTTCTTCTGGCCCATGACACTTGTGATAATGCATCTGCGCAAAAAGAAAGAAACATATTACATCGCATCCTAATCGTCTTATCTTATATTAACATCTCACTGAAATTTCAGTGACTGTAATTTTGTTAACATTTTGATTCTAGTAACTACTTACTCTACTTACATCTACACCTACATATAACTTCATATTTTATGTTGATAAATTACCAAAAGTAGAATTCTTTGCACTTGCAAATCTTTGTTTTGCATCTCTTAAAGGTCTCCTTAAGGGGGGCAGAGGGTGTCTTCTTCGTCTTTTTAAAAACTGAGCCAAACCTCCTAATAGTAACGATCCTCCAGTGAGACAAATAATAACAATCTACAAAGAAAAAGTTCATATCATTAAGAAACGCTTGGGTACCGTATTTGAACGAGTGTCATACTAAATTCGTACTTGAATGTTTCTCGGTCTATCGACAATAATAATGGAATTACGAAAACACTAGGTACTCGTTTTTAAATATTATGTAATATTGGAATTATAAAATGTAAATACATTTACTCTAACCTCAAAAGAGAATACGAATACTTGCTTTTTGTGTTCTAGATAAGTGTATCGATGGCAGTGAAATTATGTAACGATTATACAATGCACCTAAAAACTGCCGCGCGTTAAATACGGACATTGTCAGTGTCTTTGCAATAAACTTTATAAATGGAGGTCCACGCACTGTTTGAACCAATGAAAAAACATTAATTTTTAACAAAGTACTGCATACTGCTACGAATAGGATTCGTTTTTGCGGCAAGATTCAAAGCATACAGTACTACAGTCAGTGTTGCCAGACGACAGACCGGTGCCCAAAGGAAACTACGCCACCACTTACGTATCCTAGTACACAGGCTCGTGCACGTACGTGAACTAAGCCCTTCAGCCCAGGCACATAGGTTGAAACTCGAAATCGTATGCTGGTTGACGCAAGTCGGATTTCAACCGTTTCGTGAACGACAAGGAAAGGTTCACGGTTCGCAATCACATTTTTTCTCGAATTTCCGAAGCTATTCGAAATGCAGCTCACATACACGTGGCTGTGCGTTAGTGTGTGAAAGTGGAGGGGCAATTTTCACGGAGCACCGGGTTACCGTCTGTTAGCACTGGCCTAACCTTACATTCATTGGTTGATTCGTTCATACGATGTAAACATTAAATAAAAAAACAGTGAAACTAATTGTAAGAATATTATACAAAATCATCATTTCACAGATGTAAGTGAAATTTATTCTTTAATTAGAAAAATGTCATTCTTTATTATTACTAATAGTTGAGATGCTTACAATAATCTTTTACGAATTTCAAAAATAAATCCTTTCATTCTTATCGAGTATTCCATTTGTACATTTCGTACAACATTAACAACGTTATATAGATACATATTACAAACGTAAATATTTTATTCAATGTCATCCCAATCACAGAAATTTAAGTCACTTTCGGAAAGTTCAAGTAACTGTTTAGCTTCGTCCGGCGTTGCAGGAAAATCGTTTTCTAGCAAGACATTCTGTGTTGCATTTTCATTACTTTGTACAATTGTTTCATCAGTCGTGCGTTGATGTTGTTCGCTACTTTTACAGAAATCTAATACTGTTTGTTTCGTATTTAATGTATGTTTTGTAATACTTATATCATTCAGAGAAAGATTCTGATCGAGCCCAGCTTCGTTTAACACGTTTATCTTCTTTTGGAGTAATGGCCATAAATAATCGTCTGCCGTTTGTTTTGCAACTAAATACCGAATAACAACAGTTTTATTTTGACCAATTCTGTGTACTCTGTCCTCTGCCTGGCACAATATCTGTAAAAATATTTGTTTAATAGAATTGAATCGTTCAAACGATTATTTTTTTAAAATAATAGAAATAATAGTACCCCAGGATTCCAAAACAGTTCTGCAAAAACTACAAGTTGCGCAGCTGTTAATGTAATTCCGGAATTTGCTGCTGTAATTGACAGAATCGCTACCAAGTAATCATCGCTACTTTGAAATTGATCAATTTGTTCCTTTCTATATTCAGAATTTGTTCTACCATCGATTCTGATGTATCTGAAATATGTAAACATTTTTTAAGCGAATAAGCTTGGTAGTTGCAGTTACTATATGAAGAGATAATATAATTACTTTATATTCATAGATTGTACACATTCAGAAATGGCATCTAGGATATTTTTGTGGTGAGCGAAGATTAGAAACTTTTGTTTGTCTTTTAAAAGTTTTAAAACGTAGTCGCTGGAACATCGTTAAAATAAACGTTAAAAAAGATAATAAGCATTTGCAGTAGAATTTTATAAACAAAAATGGAACATACCATATAGCTTTTTGTTTGGCGAAACTGGATTCATTATAGTACTGTATAAGAGCATTATGCCTTTCCCTACCATTTAAAACTTTTTTTTCCATCTGCTTTGAAGCCTCTACCATTTCCTTAGCACTAGCTTTTATTAAATCTGGATCTAGTACAATGATTTCCCTAATATTTAAAGAAGCAATAAATATAAACGCGAATTCATGTTTGCACGCGCTAAAATAAATCGATGTAAATAGATTTATTCTTAACCTGGTTTTTGCTGGTAATTCATGCAATACATCAGTTTTCAGTCTTCGAAGTACACAGGTGTGTTTTAACAACAATTGCAATTCTTGCATATTTGATGATCCTGTAAAATCCCATCCAAATGAATTCTTTTCGCCCGCACAGTACCGAATTCCGTATTCTTGATATCTGTATACAAATAACTTATAATCCTTTTGTACTTATATATATGTTTATCTTGTGTAATACATATTTTACATTACCCCATGAAATTTGGTATTATAAAGTTTATTTGTGTATACAGTTCTATAGGCCTTGATAAAGCAGGTGTTCCAGTAAGTAAAATAACATGGCATGCTTCCGAAACTATACATTGTACAGCCTTGTATCTGCTAGTTTTAAAACTCTTTAAGACATGCGACTCATCCTACGAACATATTTTATTATCTACATGAAATGTGCAATTTAAAGGAACCGACATATTTATTTAAAAATAATTTATACTACGATATTTACCAGAATAACAAAGCCAAACATTCGAGATTCAAATGCATCTACGTGTCGCGCTAGAAGGTCGTAAGACGTGATAATAATCTTACTATCGTTGCAAAAGTCTTTTATATTTGTAAAATGATGGATATATTGTGCAGGAACAGATGGCAAAAATGTATATATTGCTTCTGCCCATTGATACCTAAATATAAAAAATCAAATTTAGTAAATGATTCACCCCGTATATTTACAAATAATTGTACGCTTTTTTTAAAGAACCTGACTGAAGATGGTACAACAATGAGAAGAGGCCAATCTTTTCTAAAATAATGTGCAATGCCTAATGCTTGAATAGTTTTCCCTAGACCCATATCATCAGCAAACATACAGCGACCGCCTTTAGATATTCCATAACTAACAAAAGGAAGGACATACATATTCTAAACTATAAAAAAATGATGCAAGAATATTGACGAATATTAGTAAATAATTAAATTTACCAAATTCCTTCGCGTTGAAAGGGCATTAATTGATTCAATAAATGAGGATCAATATCTGACAAATCAATGTTTGCAGCTGTTTTATCCAAAGTGTTGATTTTCCTAAATACCTAGAAGAAACCAATTTTAAGACATCCAAATTGCTTAATAAATAATCATATTTAAATGTAATACTTGAAGAATTTTGTTCGGCAGTCCTATTATTTGTATATCAGACTTGAATTGAACAACTTTTTCCATTAAACTTTCATAATCTCTTAAATGAAAACTCCATGTTTTAGATTTTGAATCTGAAATAAGAAAACGATATAGATGTTATTAATTTTATACAGTGTGTTTCAATTTTATGTATGAAAGTAAGGATATACCATATGATTTGCTTGGAATTGTCTTAAATGCTTCGATAAGTGGAGGAAAATACGACGACGTTTCAAGCACAAGTCTTTCTTCGCTTATCATGTAACATTTTCCTGTTACGCGTGATTTTTGCCCAAAAAAAGTTTTCGAGTCAATTGGGTTAAACCGATCCTTTTGTTTATTGAATTTTGTGTTGCTTTTAAAGGAATTGTTTTTAAAATTTTTTCCGAAACTACTATTATTTCCTTTATGTTGAAAACGCTCAGCAGCATTAGCTGGTTTGTTTCCATTATTTAAAATAGTAGCAGACGTAATACTGCTTTCTATTTTTGTTATGTTAGGAGATGAACAGGTTTTTATTTGAGTTTGTTTCTTACGCTGCAAAGCTAGTAAACGCTTTTGTTCTATTTCTGCCTGAGAATAACTCATGCCTATACCTGTTGTATAGCAAACACTACGTTTCTTTTTCATGAAATACTATGCAACCAATACTGTAAATACAGATTAAAACTAACAATTTTTCCATTGCCCAACAACCTTCTTTGGTTGTTTATTTTGTTTTACGCGAAACAATATTTCTCCAATAATATACACATCCATCTACATTTTATAATTTTGTTGGGCACTGAACCACATTGCATCGTCCTTCCACGAGAAGGCACAGCGTATTTACATCCCCCGCCCCTGTTGCAGTCCGCTGACTCACAGGTATTGGTCGAAAACGATGACGAAGTCGATGACAGCCAATCAGCGGATTGCAGCAAGAGTGGGGATGTAAACACGTTGTATCTTCTTCTCGTGGAAGCACGGTACACAATACAATTAACATCTAGAGCCATAAATAATTACTAAATTTTAGCCAATCTATATGAATCATATATTGGTGCATTTTCAATGTTATGCGATTGATTTTACTATGCATACCGGCTCATCTAGTAACACAATTCTACGTGACATTGACGACAGTGTGTTAAACCAGATTTGGTACAATTGAGCGCATCGACGGTGACACTAGTAACGACGAACTTCCTTAGCGGTTAACGAAGGACTGTTAAACTGTTATGTGCCTGTGAATTTTGTCGTGTATTTTTATAATAGATTATAATACTACGTGAAGTTCAAATGTTTGCATGATTTAATTAAGGCTTCTTCTGTTTTTAATAGTAATTTGAATGTCTGATTTTTAATAAATCGATGTCGAATACCGAATTATCTACCATGTCAACTTCAAACGAACCTACGAAAGAAACACAACTACTGCGTACGTGTTCTATGTACATACAAAGTAATCGAGTACTAGAAATGATATAAAGTAATTAATTTGTAATATTTTAGCGGACGATCATGAATTCATTGTTCCGAAGAAAGCGATCAAAGTGCCAGCTGATATGGCAATTTGGGAAAAATCCGAAGCGTATTTTGTAAGAATTTTTATAATATATTTTTGTTATGCATTAACTATTGTCATATTATGTATACAAAGAAACACCAAAGCTTTGATGTACAAAATTCCTGTAGAAATGGTTTTGTAGGAGTATCTGGGATTTATATTGGCCTTGAATCAGTCGGTTCAAGGGAAAGCTTTGAGTGTCGAATGTTCTCAAAGCCCTATAATAGAGAATGTTATTGGACTGCTTAATGAATTGGATGAATGGATAACACAAATACCTCCGACAGAACAGCCTCAACGTTTTGGTAATAAGTCGTTTAGAATATGGCACGAAAGACTCCAACAGGTAAATATAATTGGCTTTTGTGTAGATGTTTTAAAAATTCAACGATTTGCTATATTTCAGAAAGGAGTGGAAGAACTACAAAAGATATTACCGTCAGAATTACATAGAGCAGTTCCTGAAATAGTTCATTATTTGTACGAAGGTTTTGGTAATGCTACGCGCATAGATTATGGTACAGGCCACGAAATGGCATTTCTAATGTTTTTATGCTGTATGTTTAAAATTGGTGCTTTTAAACAAGATGACAAAGTTGCTGTAGTTGTAAAGATATTTAACAGGTAATATGCTTTTCATATCACACAGGACATCTAATAATTTATATATTAAAGTAATTTTCATTTTTGGAAGATATCTTGATTTAGTACGAAGATTACAATTGACGTACAGAATGGAACCAGCAGGTAGTCATGGTGTTTGGAGCTTAGATGATTACCAATTTGTACCATTTATATGGGGAAGTGCTCAATTAATTGGTATTACTTTTTTTTTATTGTGTCGATAATTCTTATAGAAGCACAGTTGCACAAAAGAAATATTTCAGGTCACAGTCGTTTGGAACCTCGTCATTTTGTTGATCCAGGAATTATTGAATTATATAGTAAGCAATACATGTTCTTTGGCTGTATTGAGTTCATTTCAAAGGTTCGTGTACGCGTATAAGACATAGCTATGAATACAGATGATGCAATTACATTTTTTTTATTAAGTATGACAATAATCACTTTAGGTGAAGATTGGTCCATTTGCTGAACATTCAAATCAGTTGTGGAATGTCAGTGCAGTTTCGTCATGGGCAAAAGTGTGCAATGGTCTCACAAAAATGTACAAAGCTGAGGTAACGATCAGCCACTTGTAATTAATACAAGTATAGTAGCAAAATAATGTCATTTATATATGTTTAATCGTCAGGTTCTAGCAAAGTTTCCTGTTATTCAACATGTTTTGTTTGGCTCCTTATTACCGATCAAACCGGCATCCATAGCTCCTGTTGAAAGAAGACCTAATCAAGGTCAACCTACACGACCACCACCGCCGCCGCCGCCATCCAAATAACAAGATCCTACAAACGTACTTCATATTTGTTAATGTAGATTCTAACAAGCATTCGATATTTATAATAAAGTTGTACATTATGATTATGTATTATTTGTAGCACCATTAGGTTTTAAAGTGTAATTTTTACAACAGTTTGTGTTTACATGCATTATTTTAATACAACAAATTTAACCGAGATACTCGTGATTTATAACTTGTACAATAAAACATTGAAAAATTCAGAAGATACCTATCATATACCGTGATAATATAGAATTCGTTCAACGTTACTACTTTTTATACTATCTCAATGGTAACGCAACAAAAAAACTATGAAACCCACTTATTAGCGTTTGTATACAAATATATTCCTGCCAATGAAGATCTTACATTCGTGTAAACATTGTCCCACTAAGAAAGATTTATTACAAATGTATAGAAAGTATGTTACAGTAATGTTATTTTTTTTAATACTAATATATGTTATAAATTCGGAAAGATCAAGTGGTTTATACATAGACAATGGACTTAATCAAACAATGTTACATCAAGTGGCCAATTGGAGACAGAGACGAGATATCGAGCATAAATTGTTAAATATTTTTGAATTACCTACGAGACCGAAGAGAATTACACGAAGAGCTTTATTAATAAAAAGATCGGCGCCTAAATTTTTATTGAATATTTATAGAAACGTTTTTCCCAATGAAAACGAATCGATTCGGGACCAAAATGAAAACACGGAAGAATTCAATTTAAGTGATTATGATATCAATATTATCGATCAAAGCGATTTAATTATGACTTTTGGTGCCCACAATCCACATTCAGGCAATGCATCGAAAACTAATCGTGGAAAAAGAATCTGGTTCGACGTGTCGGAAATTCCGCGAGGGAAACATATCATTGCAGCTGAACTACGTTTGTATCAAAGTTTGAATAAAAATGTTGAATCCAATAAAACTTACACAGTAGCATTATACAGAGTAGCACGAATACAAAATGGTAGGCGAATTAAACATTACATAAATTCAGCTAATACTACGATAGATAAGGAAGGCTGGATAACATTAAATGTTAGTACAGCCCTAAATTTTTGGGTCAAGTACCCGAAAGAGAATCGTGGTTTATTTTTAGTAATACATCATGCTGATTATACAGGACACATTATGAGACCAGATGATATAGGCATTGTAGGTGTTTTGGGAATTCCAGACAAACAACCATTCATGGTTAGCTTTTTTAAAAATTCTGGCAAACGTAAGAAACGTGAAATAACTTCCAGACAAAGAAACCATGATTTTAGTAGTATAAACGTCCAGAACAATCCTTATATTGATCTTATTGGTCAAAAGAAAAGAAATGCATGTACCATTAAAACTTTGTATGTAAATTTTAAAGATCTTCAATGGCAAGATTGGATCATAGTACCAGAAGGGTACAATGCTTATTACTGCAGTGGAGAATGCAATTTTCCACTAAACATTCACATGAATGCAACTAATCATGCTATTGTACAAACTTTAGTACATCTCAAAAAACCAAATGAAATACCAAAACCTTGTTGTGCACCTACAAAACTATCACCAATATCTGTACTTTATTTTCTTGATGACAGTAATGTAGTATTAAAAAAATACAAGAATATGGTTATCAATAGTTGTGGTTGCCATTAGATTGTATTTAGGAAATTGACAATTTTAAACTTTTTAAAAAACAGACAAGAATCATTTTACCAAATTTACTTGGAGACTGATACCCGTATTAACATATATAGTATTGTTTTAATAAAGAAAAAGATCGATATTGTTTTTAAAAACATGTATTTACGTAATAAATTTGTAATAAAATATCATAACAATAATAACGTATGTATAAAAATATTTAAAAACGCCAGCGCACGTTGTATTCTCAGTTATCATGCTGTCAAATGCTATAATTCCTTAATAAAATTTCAAAATTATTACAACTATAATTGATCATTTAGTGCTTAAAGCATAGAACGCTTTGTTCCTTGATGAACAATTCCAGTTGATATCAAGTTAGCAATTTCCTTGGATTTAAAATTTAATTCCGCGAGAATTTCTGTTGTGTGCTCGCCAGGCTCAGGAATTCTTTGATGCCCCTTTGTTTTTCCAGAACAACGTGATAATTGAGGAGCAGGTTTTGGGATTACTAAATCATTCTCTATGGTTGTAAATGTATCTCGTTCTTTGTTATGCGCATGAACAGCAGCATCCTTTAAATTTAAAAGAGGTGTTACACAAGCATCCGTGCCATCAAATATAGCGCACCACTCATCCTGGGTTTTCTGTTTGAATATAGTTTCTAATTTCGCGCGGTTTTCCTCAAATTTATCAAATTGCGGCATGTCGTTTGTTGAAAGGCCAAGTTTTTCCAAAAATATTTCGTAAAATTGTGGCTCCAGTGCTCCAACGCACATGTACTGTTTATCTTTAGTTTCATAAGTATCATAAAAATGTGATCCTGTATCCAATCTTGAAAAAATTTAGAATAAAATAGCTTTTGGTCATTTGGATTTTAAAAATGGTAAAACTTCAATGTAAAAATGCTTACATATTTTTACCACGTGGGTTTCCCCACAATCCAAGTAAATTTTGAGATCTAAAGAACCAACTGCCTAAATATGCAGATCCATCAACCATTGATGTATCCACCACTTGGCCAATATTGCTTCTGCTACGTTCGAATAATGCTAACATTATTCCAAAGGCACACATTAATCCACCACCGCCAAAATCAGCAGCCAAATTAGCCGGTGGTATTGGCTTTTGATCGTAACGTCCACATAAAGATAATAAACCTACGTATTATAAGAAGTATTACAAATGATACAGAATAAAACATAAAACATAATAGCCTTAATCATCATCAAAGTTATAGATTTGTATTACCAGATAAACCTAAATAATTAATATCATGCCCAGCCATATTTGCATAAGGTCCCTTCTGACCATATCCTGTTAATCTAGCATATATAAGCCTCTTGTTTCTTTTCATGAGATCATCTGGTCCCAAATTCATTCTTTCCATCACACCTGTTGGATTCATATTATTTTCTCAATTTAAAATAATTTTAGAATACAAACCAGTCATTATAGAATACAAACCAGCTCTGTATGGATCTATAAGTACATCGCTTTGATCGCTTAATTTTTTAAATATTTCAGCGCCATCCAGACTTTTTAAATTCAACGCTATCGATCTTTTTCCGTGACCAAGAGAGTCCGGGAGAACATGAGACCCATTAACCTGATGGTCAATCAAGATTAACATTAATTAAAAATGATTTTTTTTATAAGAAAAGAAAGAATAGCATAGAAATAATTACAATTTAATTATTAACAATAATCACAGAATATACGGTAAATTAAACAAACGAATAACATTGGTTTAACTATACCTTATCTACTTTGGTAACTGTTGCACCAAATTCTGCTAATATCATACCACAAAAAGGACCTGGTGCAAGACCAGCCAATTCTAACACTTTTATATGTTTTAGTGGCATATTTTCGATAGACAAAACTGTACTGAACCAACAAAGGATGAGATCACATTATTTAAATCGATAATTAAGTATTCACGTATCAATTAAAGAAATAAATTGTAAACAAGTTACGTGTACGGATTATCAAACATAAACATATCCAGATACACGTATTAGTTACAGTATACGCAAATAAATAATAGTCAGTTCTATAGCCCATTCATTTTTTATAAGATTGTTATTGTTACAGTTCTATATGAATACTCGCCATCGATACAATAAAATTGATATTTGTTTGTTTGTTTAATGATAAAATTATGTAGAGGTAATATTTGAACATTTATAAAATGTTTATTTTAATACTGTACGAATGTACGTAAAATTTTAATTCAGTATTCATGAGTAAATTAAAGATAAATTAAGAAAAGTTTCTGCCATTTTTAAGCAAAACTTTTGATTATTACAATCAATTTATCTTTATCATCTCTAATTTTTGTTTTTGGTTTTGAAACAAATGCCAGTGACCAATGGAAAACGTCTACTGCTATGCTATTCATTTTCTTTTTGTTATAAAGAGATTATCAATACCGAGAATTAAGCTATTTATTAAATAGATATCATTGCATTTTAAGAATATATTTTATTGTTTCTAAAGTTTTTGCTAATTATAGTTATTTTGAGTCCGACATTAGAGTCTCTAGGATAAGAATTTGCGGAATGTTGGTAAAGCTGGCATTTGTAGTATGCGAAAGATAAATATTGTTATCGTAACCTATAACATAATAAATTAAATTTTTTATAGAGAAAATCGATCACATATTCGCTAAAATGAATCCAACGGAGCCTACCAGTACCGAAGCTTTAAGGTAATTTATAGTTTTAGGGATAAAGAAATGGTATTAGAAAAGTTCTTTTGTGCTTAAATTAAGCGATTTGTACACATGTTGCAAACGTAATTTTATTGCAATATTTATTTGCTGGCCATCGATAAATTATATGCAATAATTGCTGTATGAAGATGATAATATATTGTATATTTACAGCTCAAAAATGAAAGATGTTATTGATGTCTTGGCTATGCAACGGGAAAAACGTAATACTTTGCAAAAAAGTATTACAATAAATTATACCAAGAGTACAGATAGTTTTACAGTTTCGCGATTTATTTTCGAGTGTGGTAAGTTCTCAGTATATTGTGTTTTCTGCCATAATGAGATTGCATCATAAAAAACTTGTGTTTATGGTTTTAATAATTGTAGGCTTGAAGCTCGAAGCTCATCCGTTAACTATTGCCACAGCTGCAACTTTATATCACAGGTTTATAAAAGAGGCTGCTCCAGGAGGTTACGACAATTATGTAAATAAATTGTTAATATTATTCATTGAAATTATATAGTTTTTATCGTTAATATTTATGTAAATCTATGTTTTAGCTAATTGCTGCCACATGCCTTTATTTAGCAGGGAAAGTAAAGGATGACAATCTGAAAATAAGGGATGTAATGAATGTGTCTTATAGTACTCTACACAGAGGATCACAACCATTAGAATTAGGTGATCAGTATTGGAGTATGAGGGATGCAATTGTTCAAGCAGAACTCTTAATTATGCGAATGCTAAAGTTTCAAGTAACTCCTGTGCATCCGCACAAAGTAATTATTAATATATAATGTTTTGTATGATTTTAAACAACAATCGTATTTGTATAAGATACTGAAACTTTATATTTTCAGTACATGTTGCACTATTTACGGTCTTTGCAAGCATGGTTTGGAGAAGAGGAATGGTCTAAATATCCTGTTGCAAAGACTAGTATGGCGCTGTTGCAAGATTTTCATCATTCCCCGGCTATACTCGATTACCCGCCAAATTTAGTAGCGATTGCTTGTATTAATTTGTCTTTACAGATTTATGGTGTAGTAGTGCCATTAATGGATGAATGCGATCAACAGCCTTGGTTTAATGTAAGAGTTTAAAATCTTAACAAAATTCCCAATTCTTATGAATTTTCCGTAAATCTAACTTGCAATATCTTGGTTGCTTTCAGGTTTTTTGCAAGGAATTAACGAGAGATAAGCTTTGGGAAATAATGGAGAAGGTTATGGCCGCGTACGACGAAGAACCCGAAACTAGGGACAACTGATGCATTTTAATCCATTCTTAATGTATAAAACATTCAGATCCATTGTATATTGGCACAGTTCTGGCATTCCTCTCATTAAAACTGATAACAGCAGAGTACAAAAATAAATCAAGATTACCATTGAAATACAATATTCTTGATTCTATGTTTTGTATTCCCTTCGTGTCGCCGGCGCGTTTTTTAAAGTAACGAATGTATTACTAAGAATATAAACAATTTATAGCTTTATTAACAGGCTTTTCAACATTCATACTACCTATTGGTATCCCTTACACAGTTCTGTATCTCAATTTCATGTTTTAAAAAATATATCACCCTCTATGTCGATATTCTCCTATTCTTTAATCGAGTTTGATGATTAAAGCAAAATGGAGGCCAACAGACAAACATAGTACAGGATGTTTTGAAGTGTTATGAGTTTATCAAGACGACATTCAATTATATTGTAATTTTATTAAAATAAAGTGTTTAATTCTAATAACGCGAATACCCCGTATACAATATTTCGATCGATTTTTAATACACGTTAGACAATAACCATCTTTAAGTTTATAGAAATATTATTCATACCATTTGTTATTTAAAACAAATATCAACTATAGAAGTAACGGATTAAATGCGCTAATAATATCTATGAACGTATTTAATTGATTATGCGAAAGGTGTTCTTGTGCCCTAATAAAGTTCAAGTTTCGACACGCGTGAAGTTAGTCATTAGAAGTTCACTATTGTTACAGTCAAATGTGTATATATGTATGATAAACATTATTTTCGTTTGATTATAAAAAACGGTATTAATTTTTTATAATTTAATGTCAACAAAGATCCTGCTACACGTTGTGTTTATTTCGTGTCGTCGTAAATACACGTTTGATTCATAAGAACGCAGAACATGCCATTATTACGCGGTGAATATTTACTAGGTGCGTGCGTGAAAAATTTGAAATAATTCTATAAAGCTTTAATGACAGTTTATAAAATTACCACGATGGAGCAAATGGAGATACCTTTGCTGTTGAAAAAAGAACGAGACGAATTCGACGTCGAAGACACCGACGATGACACTAGTCTCGAAGATATTAATAATCTTTTGTCAATATCGTTACCTTCCCTTTCAGCGAACAAATTACATTTACCCACCGATCCGAACGATGAATTTCTTCGACTGACTACCACGGCATGTTTTCTATTTCGTATAAATGAATAATCACTTAAAAGTATTGAACTTTAAACAGAAACGTTTGGTTGTTCGTAAATGTTGACATTTAAAAATTGTTTACAGTTTGTTATCGATGAATTGATCGTTGTTATATATTCAAGTAGCTAGGATTTGTTTAATTTTACGTATATAATTTCAACGAATTGTTTGTGTTGCAGGTTCGTGCAGTGTATTTTTCATATCTTCACAAATGTTTGCTCACCAATTACATTCTTTGCTACAAAGAGAAGAATAAAGATATACCATGCGATCATTTAAAGAAATGCGCGGATCAAATGGAATTGTATGCAGTTCGATCGTCTTTGGAAGCCACTTTGTATAGACAGAATATGTTAAAATTGGTAAGTATTTGTCGGTATTGTCTTAGGTTTAATAAACTGATTAGTGATTGAAATTGTTGAAATAGTTAAAGATGCTTGCAGATTTCAGATGTAAAGTCTCATACCATAGAGAAGAAAGCCTTTAAGAAATTAGTAATATTTTTAGAAGCCCCGCCGACTAAAGTAGATGTTGGTGTTCAGACAATTAATTCGTGGGCGGAATTAGAGAGAGCTGATAATATTCAAAGTATTTGTATTACATCTAATTGCGAGGAATTGTCTTCGGAGATACAGGCATCTCCTATAAAAAAAGAAGAGGATGCAACAGATATCACTCAAACACAAAATGCGACTCCTGAAATTTCTGGTTACAGCGATACAGCTTCGCCAACTGTGAATTCCACATGCTTTGAAGACATAGAGCACAGTAAATTAAAGAATGAATCGGAAGAGGTCACTAATAAAATGGAAATCGACGAAGAAATGACAAACGAAGATTGCAATATTTTCAGTTGTTCGCAGAACGATTCTGATACTCAGATTGTACAGAACCAATCAAATATTCAAAACGACGATGAAAATTCTCAAGACTCGCTTTTACAACACATGGAAGATATGTTTTGCGATAGCGACGACAGTAGCGATCTCATGACGTTAATAGAAAAACATTCGGGCGTTAGTAAAGCTAATGTGGATAAAGAGATTAATAAAATATGTTTAGAATCAGATTCTCTTCTTCCACATAATTCCAATGGCAGTATTAACATATCTGAAAGCAATAACAGTACAAAGCTCAATCCTGTTAAAAACAATACTGTGAAACCGTCGCTGAACATTAGTACAGGGAAGTATAGTTTTAGTTACTATAAAGAGATGAAAAACAGAGAAGCTAATAAATTGGTGGCAGAAGTCGAAACGCCCGAGACTAAACAGAAACGCAGAGCAAATAGTATTTGGTTCGTTGAACGCGTATATCAGGTATCGAAATTGAAGGCAAAGATGACAGAATTATCTTTGAACAATTATAGAAGACACGGGCGAATAAAAAAAAGATTTATCGAATTATTCGGGGAATCTGACGACGAGGAAATGATGCCAGATTCACCGATTTGTATCGAAGAACACTTAACCGCATGCAAGGAGAGGATAGCACCATGGATCGTAAAACATCTGATGCCATTCTATAAGAAGCGTAGAATCAAAGACAGGCAACTGTTTAAAGTAGTTGCAAAACACATAGCCGATATGCTCATTATCGAGAACACATTTCCCGGTGGGTGTCTAATAAAATGTCGTACTAATGCTTACAATTAACATAGATATCTCTCCATCCAATAATACTCTTTATTTTTATTTTCCAGAGCAAGACTGCGTGAGTAAATATATAGAAACATACTTTAAAAATAAAAAATTCATTAGAACTAAACAGGACGTATACTTATAAATTACATAGTTATTTTGATCGATCAAAGAGCGATAAGTATTTCTATCGCCGTACTTATTTAGACTTTTAAAAATTTCGAATACTGAATTACACGAAGAGCGAAACTGTACATATTATTTTAAAGAGAGGAGAACGCAATAAAGAAGTACGTTAAATGTTGATTATCCAAAGTATGTATACAAAAGGAATGCAGTATGAATGGGAAAGCACGGTGAAGTATCTTCCATTATAGCAATTTTTTTCCGAAGAACGATATAAAATTTGTTTGCATAAAAATCACATAAAAACAATATATTCTGAACGGTCGGTGCTGCTTCTTCGTTCAATAAGTTCCTTATATATTCCTTTTAAACGAAGTAGAAATTCTTATTATGATTTTTCTATCAAACATCGAAGCTTTAAAGTAGTATGTAAGTCACAGTCTCAATTTTGTTATGCTTATTATTTATATTGATATATAATACTCCTATCTATATGTGGGTGTATATGCATGCGCATAAACGCACACGTAAATGTATGTACACTAGTGTAACGAAATATACTTAATGAAAGTTATACAAACTATAACTTAAAGAAAAAACGGTAAAATAGTTTAATCTATGCCCTGTACATAGTCCCTTTGATAATTACGAACTTTTAAAGTGTTGCTTATGATATAAATTTAAAGAACATAAAAACACAATATACAAGTTATTAATTTTACTGTTGATTTCGGTACAATAGCAATCTTATTCCTGTATCCTATTCTCACAATAAAATAAGAAGTATATAACAAGAAGATTTAAAATGCCTTAGTTTTATATACTTTATGATTAACAAAGAATGAATTATCTTCGGTAGATTTTAGACTTTTTAACATTTTCTTTTTTTTCGTGTAGAGAATATCAAATTATGAACAGTTTTTAAGAGATTTACCTCCGTTTTAAACTCAATTCACCTTATTTACCTAGTTGCAATAGCATTTGTTTACAAATAAATTTATATATGATACTTACAAGTTATCCAGTAAAAAACTTTAATAGTAAACGATGAATTTTTTACTTTATTTTATGTTTTAGATGTCAAAATATATTTCTGTGACGATAACTACAAATATATAAAGAATCTTACCCCAGCTACTTTAAAAAAGCAGAAGAGCTAATTATTATATTTTTTCTACCGAACAACTTGTAGGTAAATTAGCTTTTGTCTTGATATTTCATTTTTAAGCCATATTTTTGAAATTCACGAATTTCGTATATTTATATATTAATTGAACCGTTGTATACAATTGTTATTCTGCGATCTCTGAAAGTGATAAACATCAAATTATAAATTTTTCATAGAAAGCCAATATTAATAAAATATTATCGAACGAAACTAAAAAAAACGAAACACGAAAAAGAAATTTTTCTATTACTCTGCAGCGACTGATAATAACATTTAAGTAAGATCCTTCCGAATGTCTAATACACATATTCAAAACCCAAGTACTTTCACAAACAATTATTTTAATTAGACATCACAGCATTAAAAGCTCGATTAAATATTTGTATAAATATAGAAGGATCTTATAAAAATTTTCGAATAAATTGTTAACATGACTTTAAATATCGAAGGTGGGGAGGAAAATATACTTGCGACAAGTCTTATTGTAACTTATGTATTACGTATTTTTCCAGGTACGTAGTTCTTGTCTATTACAGGTTCTTGCAAAAACATGTGCAAACATCGTTCGTTCTGTGCTAATGGATGTCCTGCTATTCTGAAATATCAATGGAATATTTTTCTACCTCTAACACACTTCTATACAATTTCGTATAATGAGAAAATCATTTGATCGAACGTACTTTATATTACACCAATGATTATTTTATTATACGTACTTATTAACAAATTCTTCTAAGCCTTTCCTTCGATCTTCGATAAAATCTTCTTCAAAAATACCATCATCCCCTCGAAAAGGCATCTGACGTTTCCAAGCCTTTCCTGGTAACGGAGGCACTACAATCTGAACGTAAAAAAAATAATATTAATATGTTAATTATCATGAGCTTAAAATAATGATAAACTTGTAACGCATATAATTTATTAACTGACCTTGCTATCTCTTTCTAGTTCATTCCTTAGCCATTCGAAGTCACTATATCTTCTTCTTACTGTGGAATCTTTCACTTTGAAGACTGGAAGATTTGTCTGGAAAGAAATATGATCTAGTATAATCATTCATTTTGGAACTTGTTACTTTTTGGTTTACTTTTCATTCGTTACAGATATATGTTCCATTTATTTTAAGATCAATGATTCATCTATACAGTAATGCATGTAAGCTCTTATACAGAATTCTTAATACCAAAATTCATATCTTAAAACATTTAAACTGCAACACATCAGATGCAAAGTTGATCAAATGTATCATCCGTTTTTTTTTTTTCAAGTTTTAAATAATATTTCACGCGCGTTAATCTAAGTTCAATAAGTGGACCCAGCAGCACATGCATTTTTGTATCTGTTTGTTTTTTATCACTAAAAGTAAGATAGCAGACACAGCCCATGATACACATGATTGGCGTGCATAACGAAATTATTGCTACAGTCATCATCATTGTCGTAACTATTATTATTTTCTTATTGCAGGGGAAAATACATTTAGCACGAAAAATATGCCGCTTTTACGAGTTACCATAAATTCGAAATTAACAATGCTGCGATCGAGCACTAGCATCGGCTGCAATGCAGGATTTTTTCCCATAAAGAAGACAATCGCAAATTACAAGAAGGTTAAACAAACAAGGCAGAGATTCGTGTGAATTCGTTAAATCGTGGACAACGAAAGTCTACGAGAGTTTACGTTGGATTACAAGCGGCAAAAGGAGATGATCGTGAAACGAAAATAATTTGAGAAGATACGGCGTGTTCGACGAGGAGGAATATCCTATGAAGATGGCTTTTAACTCACCCTCATGCGAACCTCGTAATCGGTATACCGTTTCTTGCCGACGCCGTGTGTGATTGGATTAATCACGTCAATCTCGAGGAAATTTGCAGGCGCTGCATAAGCGTCGTCCAGGGTCTGTTTTTTAACATTTAAACGGCGTGTCGCGTCTACCGTTGTATCCGCCATACTTTACGATTACAAACCGAATAAATCACTTAAAAGCCAGTTGGAAACTAAATCCAACACGATAGATAACGAAAGTTCGTCAAATGACAGCGGTGAGAAACTTGACACAATTCGTTCTCATGTGTTACGTCCGTGGTCATGGTGCAAGCAAGCGGAGATAGAAAGGAAACTTACAACCGTCCCACTGCGTACACGCATTGTCCAAGAGGCAGTCGTCGGCGGTTAATTTATTGCATTTCATCAATATTTTCAGAAATTTAATCAAACTCTTTTATTTATTTCTCGACAACGTCAAATCACTACAAAGAATGTACGCACACGCAGTTAGAACGGGCTTGAAACGAGCAGTGTAGATAAAGTGCAAACGTATTAAATGGCTATTCAACGTCGACTCTAGTCATTGTACATTTTATGAAAGGAACGGTGCTATTTAAAATATTTAAAAATTGATTATATATCAGTCCTGGAGTTAGTGGTGATATATGCCTGTAACGGGACAAATAATGATACACTGGGACGGTACAAGCTTCTGTGGAAATAATGATCGATTCGTAACAACGTATCTTTAAAAATATAATTCCGAAAGTAACAAGTAACGAATCGTAGTATGTATCATAAAAGATCACGTGCCCGAATATGTGTAACAGAAATCCATACATTGAATTGCATAACTACACGTACTCGATTATGATTAATCGCCACGTGAGTTTTTTGATAGATACTCTTGCACTTGAGGATTTTTAAAGAAACCATATTGATATTTTCGTAACAATCGTCGTGTATACAAGATATTAATCCAGATATGGTAAAATAGCAAAGATAGAGAGCTTATAATGGGGTAAGTGACCTTGACCGGTCAATGTTTCTTTTATTTTGACCCACTGCGTTACCATATGATAATTGCAATCAGGGTGTTTTTACCGACCGAACGAAAATATCGATGCGTGTGCATACAGTAGCACAGACGAGGTGTACGTGTAGATCTCACACCTTATGAACTTTCGTGGCCCACTGTCACACCGACCTAAATATTGAGAGGTGATTTTAACGCCCTCTTCTCATGGATGGCGGTCAGTTGAGAAACTATTCATTGATGGGCAGACAGCTGTAGTGTATACGTAAGTACGTGTGAATTGACTATGGAAGGGATTAAAATTCATTTCTGAATCTATTGGTAACCCATTTCGGGACCCCATAAAAATGGTGCCAAAAAATCAATTGGGTGAAAGATCTACCTCTATACTTCGTCTGTAACGATACTCTTGAATCTTTGATGAATCAATGAGAATTAAAACTAACCTAGCGAAGAAGTTCTATATTTATGATGATCTATGCAAAGCGGATCGCAGCCAATTTGCTAATATTATTCAGTTTTTAATTAATAATTGCATTACCCAGCTAAGAGTGATACGATTATTAATTAAACGGTAATTAATATTACCCAGGTCTCACCACGTGGAGGTTGCTGCGAATGGAGACCCGCTCTAACCGATTCCCAACCACCCTCCATTAATAAAGATCTTTTGTGACCAGTGATCGATGATACAAGAAGCAATAAACGAAAGTGCAACCAATGAAAGATGCATAACCAACAGAGAGAGAGTTAAAAGAATTTTCAAAAGAATTTGTCTTCAAATAAAAATAACCTGCCTAACATAATGGTTAACCAAACACCTGCCTAAGTATAAATCTAAATTCGTTTATTATATCAAGAAACAATTCTAAATTCGCAGCCATTAGCTCTGTGTCACCCATGAAGAATAACTTTTCTATCGTGGGTGACACCGATTACCAGGTCTCACCACGAGGAGGTTGCTGCGAATGGAGACCCGAAGGGAGATAAATGGAATCAAAGTTCCATCGATCTCCCTTTTAGCTAAGCTTAGCTGGATCACTAAACTAGAGAGATAGAAGTAAGCAATGTTCCTTCGATCTTCTAGTTTAGTTGTACCAAGTAATTATTTTGTTTGAAAAGGGGTGAAGCTATATCGTGGGATACGCGACGCGACGCGACGCTGAACCGTGCCGCAGATCTTCGGATCGAATCAACACTGCCCTTGGTAGATTGATTCCTATTTCTAGCAATCGATCCATCATGGGTAGGCGACTAGATCTTTCGGACAAACCGGACGGCCGATCACATGTTTCGATCGATGAAACAGCGGTGATCGAAGCTAGGAACCAGAGAACGAGTCGAGAGAAGCTACTTGTTAAATAATTACTTGGCAATATTGGGAGACGCGTACAATAGGGACTTAAAATTAACGTCGAAGCTCGAGTCTGGTCAAGTTAAAACGAAAATTCGGACGATAGAAGGAAACAAAGTTCCTTGGATGTTATGATTTGGTTGTACCAAGCAATTATTTGGTTAAAAAGTGGGACGAAGTTAAATTCGAGGGACACGCGACGCGTCGCGACGCTGAACCGTGCAGCGGATCCGAGGATCGAACCTACTGCCCTTGCTAACTAGATCTCTATGGGATAATGGACGGCTGCGACTCCGAATCTAAGGTCTCCATTGCTCCAACGCAACCCGCCGGGAGCCCGAAGGACCCGACTCAAGTTGTCTGACATAGAGAGAGTACCTCTGTTTCAGTGTCGACTTCCGCTGGAAGGTATGCGATTCCGCAGGATACGGAATCTCCACACCTTCCAGCAGAGTACCATTTTCCCTGGTTCTAGCTACCTAAGGGAAGGCGATTTGATCTTTCGGACCAGATACACAGCCGATCACACGTTTCAATCGATGAAACAGCGGTGATCGAAGCTAGGAACGAGGGAACGAGCGAGAGAGAAGCTACTTATTGAATAATTGCTTGGTAGAGCGCGGATACACGTATAATAAAGAAGGCTTCGGCGTTCATTTTAATACTTGCGACGAAGCTTAAGACTAATCAACTTGGAATTAAAAATCCCACCGACGATTGTGGGCGTTCTCCCTCGATTAATCTAAATGTTGAACTGAAATCAGAACTAATGTTTGTATTAGTGAAATATGGTAATAAATTTAATATACACTTAAAAATGATCTATCACCTAGCTAAAGGAAATTGAACAAAGTATATTGACAATGTGTTACAAGAATTTAAGCTGAAACGTAAAACTGAAAATCTTCTATCGATCGGAGTCATCGAAACGAATATGGTATGCCCATCGTGTTATAAATATCGAAACGAACATTCTCATATTGATCAGAGTCGTCGATACGAATATGGATATGTGCATCGACACAATGTTATAGATATCGAAACAACCATTCGTTGATGAAAGAAACTTGGATCGAGGCACCGATTTCAATCAACCCCAAACAATCAAACGAAATGGAAGAATCGAACAAAGTACCTCCGCAGAATATTACGCGAATTCGAGCAAGATCGTAAGAATAACAATTCACGAAATTGTATAGAAACAAATGTAGTATACGATGGAAGACAATATTACATTATTATATCCTGAAATATTACACATATCAAAGCAATAACATAAATTCGACGAACAATGTACAAGTAGAAACAGAGAAAAATGACATACATAATAACCAAATACAAATCAGATAGATAAATACAGTTGAATTCACATCGAACAAACAAATAAAAATAATAAAATATAGATGAGTGGAGTGGACTTACTACTTGTTGTCAGAACACGGGATAGTTACCACTGGAACAGCTGTAAAGTAAGAAAATATTCATATTATAGCAACAGCAGTTAGACAAGCAGGGCAAAATCAGTTCATTTAAGCGAAATTGGTATCAAACGATAGAATAGAAGAGGGGAGAGAAGTTTTAAACAGTTCTTACCGTTGGTCATCACGGTCCGGCACTGGTCAGTAGTGGTCAGCTCTGGTCAGTAGTGGTCAGTAGTGGCAGGAACGCTAGCCGTGACTGGTCAGTAGTGGTCAGTGGTGGTCAGCCATGGTCAGCGCTGGCCAGTAGTGGTCAGCAGCGGCCATCAGAGGTCAGCAGTGGTCCCCGGTTCGCTTTTGGCTATTTGCCCACTCCCGAATTCGCGACGCGACTGAACAATTCTTCGCAGTGACTCTGCTTATATGCCCAAGATAAGATAAGGAAAGGGTGGGGAGACCAGTCAGAGCCAATGCTGAAGTTACCAGTTAAGACTATCCCGTGTACAAAGAAACTATTTCGGTCGGTTCCACCTCTTGACCATTTCTGGATCTTCACTGGACCGCTGACCTTGATGTCCACCTCACTGTTGACCACCAGTGACCATAAGCTAGTCATTGTTGATCATCGACCCATTAAAACCATTACGAAGATTAAAGCCTCCTTACGAGGATTCCCTTACAATTTGATGCATGATCTATTTAACATTTTGTTCCACTTTGGAAGAGCGTATCTCGTTAATTTTTGCCTTTTTGTACGACAGTTCGAACAATTGCCATACCGAGCGAAAAATTCGGAGGTGATTTCAGCGTCCACTTCTCATGGATGGCGGTCAGTTGAGAAATTATTCACTGAATTAGTATCGATAGGCAAACAGCTGTAGTTTTGCGTAAATCCATGTGAGTTGACTATGAAAGGGATTAAAATTCATTTCTGAATCTGTTGGTAACGTTGCGAGTGACACAAAAATGGTAATGGGGTCCCGGGACCCCAGAAACTCGGGCCGTAAAATTACATTAGGTGAAAGGTCTATTCGTATACCTTGTCTGTGGTCGTATATACAAGATATTAATCCAGATATGGTAAAATAGCAAAGATAGAGAGCTTATAATGGGGGAAGTGACCTTGACCGGTCAATGTTTCTTTTATTTTGACCCACTGCGTTACCATATGATAATTGCAATCAGGGTGTTTTTACCGACCGAACGAAAATATCGATGCGTGTGCATACAGTAGCACAGACGAGGTGTACGTGTAGATCTCACACCTTATGAACTTTCGTGGCCCACTGTCATACCGACCTAAAAATTGAGAGGTGATTTTAAGGTCCTCTTCTCATGGATGGCGGTCAGTTGAGAAACTCACTGAATCAGTGTGATAAACAAACAGACTAGTTGCGTGTGAATGCATATAAGTTGAGACGTACGAATTATTCGCGATTCTTTGACTAGTTAAAGTCGAATAAGTAAAATATTTTGATACTTCCAAAGTAAATCGTATTCGTTTTTCTTTCAGCTTTTAATCAAATTACAAGATCCAGTTAACCGAAGAATCGATACCTGTTGACCAATCTTCGGTCAACAGTTGAACGACCTTGGCTGGCGATGATTGCGATTGTTATTGGTGAGTTATTATTTTTTGGCGTGAATTGCACGGATTTGATTTGTACGAGATGCGATTTCAACATGGCGGCGTCCCATCTCACTCTTCTATCGAAACTATCGTTTTATCGAGATCGAAATTGACCCCCCAAGATCTTGCGTCTCGACGCCATTAGATTTTTTCCTCTTTGTTTATTCCGACAAACCACAAACAGTTGACGATCTCAAAACAAATTATGAGGGGGTTACGTGGGAAAGTAATGTTTAACACCGTGTTAAAGCAACAATATCTATTGTATAAAACAAACGTATCTTGAGTACAGTTACACTCAACGTGTAGTTCTATCGTAGTTCATTTCGGCAATAATAACATTTCGATTTTTACGACATAGGTACATGCAGTCGATGACGGCCGATTGGCTCACACTATGAGGTGCGAGACGTCTGCCGTGTAAGCGGCAGGTGATAATCTGATATCATCGGAGCGAGGGATTGGTCGTTGACGGATATCGCTGTCTCCTGGCCATGCACGGCCAGGACTTCGTGGCGCTACGTTAGACCTAGTCACTATGTCCACCGCTAAACTGACAGTCGTGGGATCGTTTAGGCCGTTACTTTGAATTCTTCGTTGGGCGGCTATCGATGCACGTAGGGTCTTCCGTTTCTGTGTTAAGAAAAAAAAAAAAGGAAACGAAAAGGCACGATTAGAGAAGCTTACTGATGCTCGAAAGAAGGCTGCACTCGCCTCTTTGCTTGGACTAACGCTATTGGACTTACATGGTACAATGCACTGTATCAAAGTACAACTATAATCATACTTTGCGTTTCTAATAGTAGCATAGTAGGGTAGACCCGGGGCCCGAGACGGTCGTAACACATTCCCCGCCTCCCGTTTCTTATCAATAACTTAGATATCCAATAACATCAAATAAGTATATAACGTGTTCGTATAAAAAATTGTTACCGCGAATGCTATAATGTTTCTGTAAGTGTTGCTACCGTCCTCGATCTCCCCTATTATCTGAAGCTTAATATTAAATCAGGACTCGAAAACTGTTATAAATCTAATCTTTTGAAAACAGTTAGGTTCTGTATCTTTTTCGAGTCCTGTTTTAAACATGACGTAAGCCGACTTCAAAAATACTTGATGCTATATAATTGAAGCGATTCTGGTGCAAGATACGACGGTATAGTTTCCCCGTTTCCCCGATGGTCGTCGTGTCTTGCACCGTTTTAATGGAAGCCTGACTACTTGTCTCATCCCTAAAGCTTGTGTAGCGAAAGTTGTGCTCAGATCTATGATGTGTTCATTGGACGATCGTGTTTTATATTGTTACTAGGTTCTCTTAGTATTCCCCGCGTCGCTCCTACTTCATCCTGGCTGCCTGCGGCTTACTGATAAACACACAATTCTGAGGAAAGGACAGCGAAAGATATCGGAAAAGAAGATGTACGATCACGCCTATGGATCTGCGATTAGTTCTCTTTACCTCGATCGCCCCTCTCCATTTGTCCGCGGCGTGTCTCGCCAGCTCCATCTTCTTCTGTTTACGTATCTGGTGCTTCTTGTACGCCACCTCGATGATTATGAGACCGATACCGCCGATTATCCCGACTCCCACCACTATGAACACACCGGCCATGTTCTTCAGGCCCAAGGTATTAGGCATTTTCTCAAATTGCTCGCATTGCTGTATGTTTCCCTGGAGGATCCAGTGTTTGTCGAGATCCTCCATGAAACCGCCTGAAAGATATATGACACGGTATAGAAGACCAACCTTTTGTCTATATACAGGGTGTTCGGTCACACCTAGGAAAAATTTTAATAGGACATTCTGGAGGCCAAAATAAGACGAAAATTGAGGATACTAATTTGTTGATTGAGCCCTCGTTAAAAAGTTATAGAAACATTTCTGGCCACACGGTATATTTTCGGTGAAGAATTTTTGTCTCAAAAATACGTAGGATTTCGGGGGTATGTGTATTCACCTAAAATGATTGTAATTGACCCCTGCAACCAAAAATAATTTTTTTAGAACGATTCGACATTTTTTAATTTTGTCGAAGAATTTCATATCTTCGCGAATTTTTTTCTCGAAAGTGGGTAGGAATTCGGGGGTGTGTCTATTCACCTAAAATTATTGTAATTGACCCCTGCAACCAAAAATAATTTTTTTAGAATGTTTTGAAATTTTTTAATTTCGACGAAAGATTTGTCCAGCTTCCTGAATTTTTTTCTCGAAAGTGGGTAGGATTTCGTGGGTATGTCTATTCACCAAAAATGATTGTAATTGACCCTCGCAGTCGAAAATAATTTTTTCAGAACGATTTGAAATTTTTCTTTTTCCCCGAAAAATTAGGCACCTACCCCCTGTCGATTTTCCTTAAAAATTCATTTTTAATAAATTTGGTTGACGCTCTACGGAAAAGCTGTCTAATACTTTTTTGCAGCTACCAATAAGTTCTATTTTAGAAAAAAATTTCAATCCAATCTGTTCACTATTGCAGAAGTTATGGCCGTTTGAAAATTGGACCGCTTTTATGGGGGTTTTTTTTAACTTTACGGGGTTAAGGACCAACTTTTCGAATATTTTTGGAATTTTTACATATTCTTCACTAAAATACGCGTTGTTTGCCGGTTGAAACATTAAAATAGTCCAATCCGTTCAGGAGTTATGATATTTTAAAGATTCACCTGAAATTTCAGTGAAACATATCGATGTATGGTCAGACATTCGGTAAGGAATTTTTTTTCTCGAAACTGCGTAGGATTTCTGGAGTATGTCTATTGACCAATAATAATTGTAATCGACCCCCGCAACCAAAAATAATTTTTTTATAATGATTTGAAATTTTTTAATTTCGACGTAAAATTGGTCCACTTACAGAATTTTTTTCTCGAAAATGGATAGGATTTCGGGAGTATGTCTAATCACCAAAAATGATTATCATTGACCCCCGCAACCAAAAATAATTTTTTTACAATGATTTGAAATTTTTTAATTTCGACGAATTTGTCCACTTAATGAATTTTTTTCTCGAAAGTGGATAGGATTTTTGGGGTATGTCTAATCACCAAAAATGATTGTAATTGACCCCCGCAACCAAAAATAATTTTTTTACAATGATTTGAAATTTTTTTATTTTGATGAATTTTGTCCACTTACTGAATTTTTTTCTCGAAAATGAATAGGATTTTTGGGGTATGTCTAATCACCAAAAATGATTGCAATTGACCCCCGCAATCGAAAATAATTTTTTCAGAATGATTTAAAATTTTTTAATAACTTTTTAACGAAGCCTCAATTGATATTCTTGATTTTCGTCTTATTTTGGTCTCTAGAATCTCCCATTAAAATGTTTTCGACCGACTACTCAATATCTAGAATGCTTTACTGACAAGTCCGCTAACAGACCCGGGAGCCCACAGTTAGCCAATTTTACTAATCGACTCTTACTTTCATGAAAGTCTAGGATGGCCAGGGTCACGGCGTCCGCCCACAAAGACCCTTTCTGCAAGCCAATGCCATAACCAGACCGACCAAACAGTTCACCGGCTGTTACCAATTCGCAGTCCTGCGCTGCTTCGAATTCCAGCCGTGAACTGTCCCAAATGAAGGCCATGAGTTTCCTGCGAGTGAATCGTTATCAAAGCAACTGGATCTCCAATCGCGAGCCTCTAACACGTAAGGTCTCGAGAGGGGTCCCGTACCCAATTTTAATATCTCTGATGGCTTCTTCGGCGGTGTCGTAATTGTTGGCTTCCATGGTACGATACATGTTCGACAGCTCCACCTGCCTACGGAAGTACATGTCCACCGCTGATCCCTTCACCGTGGCGCACGTGAGGTTCTCCATGGTGTTCCTGAGCTACGAGCCAATGCATTAAGCCCTGTCAGTCGCGCAACAATGCTGCTACCTTGACTAAAATCAATACTAACGGCGGAAATGGTAGGCGATTAGCGTAGCGCGATATATGCATAAAATGCAGAGATCTGTCCTCGATGGAACGTGGTAACCGATCGTGTCAAGGGACTATTTATAATTTCTAGATTCTTACTCGTGCATCGTTGATCCCAGTTAATTTCGTTTTCGGTCTTTCCAGCACCAAGAACGCAGCCAAGTTTGCGGTGTAAGAGGCCACAATAATCATCGCGAATCCTGCCCAAACCATGCCCAACACACGGGCGGAGAAGCTTCGCGGAGTACCTGTAGTCAGTATTTATAAAACTTTTCAAAAATGTCTGTTTACACATTCGGTGGAGGGACACGAGGATGGTCCTGTATAGATTCACGCAACTACGTTTCTGTCCCTTGTTTGATCGATTTAATTACGCCTCGGTTGGCAAAAGAAGATAATAGCACTTGCTATAAATACATTCTTCGAAGGTTCGACGGAGGATCGTGCCAGTAACGCGGAACCAACGTAGCATTAATTTTTCGAAAGCGTTTTCCCCAACGCGTTGCATCGTTCGACTCGATCCTTCACCATTGTTTCCCGATTCTCGATATACGACCGCGCCTAATTGCGTTACACGCCTTGTATACAGCGTGTGGAATGTTAGTAATTCGATCCCGGTAATTCAATTAACTGGGAAACCAAAACAAACCTTCTCCTATGCCGCTGTTGAGCAGGACTCCCCAGGCGAACCAAACGGCGCTGGACAAGTTGAGGGCGTCCTCTTCGGTACCGTCAGTGTTTGCTAGCTTGAACCTCCCGAAAGGCGAGAACCGGTCGAGGAGGTACAGAACTAGAGCCACTACGTGCACCGACACCATCACAAGTATCCAAAGGGTGTTGCTGAATGGTTGCAGAAACGACACCAGGGTCGACGATCTTGATGGCTGGAGATCGAGATGTTCAACACCAGGACACTCAGATACCTCCAACGATAGCTTACGTACTATTCATTTGCTCGTTTTACCTTCTTTTCGAGAATAGTGATGCCCTGGTACTTGAAGGGTTTGCTAAATTCGATGAACTCAGCGCGTTCAGGATTGATCGTCAAGGGTGCAACGATCATGTCCGCTCTCTCGTTCACCAGCTCTCCGATCAATCCTGTCCACTCTTTCTTCCCTCCGGCTGTAACGATTCGTTCATTAAATCCGTGTTAAAATTCGGAGAACGTGCTTCCCGTACCGAAACTGTGTTTTATCACGTAGCTGCCGAACTGCCCATCCGGCGAAAGGGCCAAACTGTAGGTGAAATTTATAGTCCTCGACAGTTCCTTCAACAGGTCCATGCAGTACCCTTTGCAGCAGAACGTTCTCGTTGCTGGAAACATTTAGACGCGTTGTAGATCGTCGTACGGCGCGAAGTCTTTTAAAGCCTTACTATCGTGTTCGGTGGCGTTGAAATGGGGGCACAGAATCTCTTCTGGAAGGCAGGGCTCGCCGTAGGCGATCTCACGAACGTAGACGAACGGCTTCTCTTCAATCGTGAGCACTTTTAAGTGCGTGGGAATCATGAAACCCTCCGGCTTGGTGCTCAACCGTCCAGGCCACGTTATATTCGACTCGTTCACGCTCAGCTTCATCTTGGTGCCGTTCTAAGACGTAACGCGATTCTCAGTACGCGTATATCGGAGCTGGTTAACGATGCTTACGGTCGGATAGAAATATTGTCCAACGGAGACTCGTTCGCCGTACTCCTTGATGTTGATGATATCGTACTCGGCGAATATACGGTCCCCGTTATCGTCAAACGTTACTCTACCGGTTTCACCGGCCGGCAACACTTCCTTGCGGATGTATCTAAATTAAAGAAACATGTTACAAATAAACTAACAAATTTCTGTTTACAGAACGAAGGTGAACCGTACTGAAATAGCTTCTTCCCGGTCTCCCAAATGGCGCCAGAGTCCCCGCAATCCTGAGGCGCCGCTGTGATCTCTTCAGAGTCGTTCATCGCCTTCAACGCGGACATGAGGACCATCCTGAAACACACGTCCAACTGAACAACAGGTACACAGAGGAACAACTGTTCTCGTCCGAGCTCCTCCGGACATAATCTCTCTGATTTCCAATCGTTAAATGTAATTTTTTAACGTTCACGTCGCGACTCTCGTCCGAAGGAGCCGGCTCGAATTGCTTCTCACGCAACATCGCTTGCACACATAGACAGTCCTAACGTTTAAAGTACAGCGTTTTTGGCGAACAATTGTCGGAATGTCCACTTGGAGAGATTTTGGAAGGTGTACTAGGAGGGTATGTAGATGTGATCCAGTGATCTGAAATCAGTTGTACATTGCTTGTGAAATACAATGTGCGTGTACGTAGGTAGCGCATGCAAAACATTTGTTTGTAATTATTCTTTTGTTTTCATGAGATAAACGGCCCCGGAATAAGTCATCGCATGCACGTGTACCGAGCACGACAGCAAAGAGTAGAGTGGGTGGTAAAACGTTTGTCTATACGCGAAGCTACACGTGACACGGATGCGTGGACGTCAATGGATGATTAAAAAAGAACTGACAGGCTATCCTGGATGTGAGCCTTCTCTTTCTCCGCGTTAATTAATTTCAAGCCGAGAAGACCTTCCGGCGCGTTTGGCGCATCTAAGGCTTGCTCCGTGACGATCCAGACGTATCCTGCGCCGGTCATGTTCAGAGCGGCGGCGTTTTGGAAGATCACGCTGGCGTCGGTCTTTCTGTTGCAAATTGAAAAGGAGAAACCCTCGAGATTCGTGCAATTCAAGATGTAACGAGAATATACGTATACTCACGAGGCGTACAGAAGGCAGACTCTAGCTTGAGCGTTCTTCATCTCCATCAGCTGATGCATGAAGCTCTCCAGACCGGGTTCGAACTCGATAACGGATTCCACCTATCGCATTTGTCGACTGTTATAGATCGTAAACGCGAAGATTTTGATCTCGAACCCACCTGCACTTTGATCTCAACGTCATCCTCCAAGTTCTGAGAAGTGGTTTGAAACCGTCCAAGCAACGCTCGTCCATCTGTATCGGAGCTATGGATGAAGATCACTTTCATGTAGTTAAAGTTTTTCAACAAATCCACCCATACGTCTGCTTGATGCGAGTATGGTGGTACAGTTCGCAGGAAGGAGACGTGAATGTTCTGCAAGAATACATCGCATCTCGATACATCGTCCACGGGCGTACAACGAATAACGTCCGTTACGTAATAATACCGGTAACGTGATCTTGACGCAATGGAGGTATTACCGGGAATCTTATTTGCGCAAAACCTTTGAACGAACTGCAATTTACCGGATTATAACACGGAACACGGGAAAGGCTACGTCTCTAAAACTGTTAGAGATATACGAAACAACAGATCGTTAATTGGTAGAATAAGAAACGACGAATGGAATGGGAAACTTGAGTCGTCGCGAGGTTCCCGCCTCTTTCGGTATGAATTCTCTTTTAATGGATTGACGACTCACTTTGTCCGAGAACGCCGAGTCTCTCGACGATATTCCTATAACGGGTATGTGGTAAAATCCACTCGTGTAAGAAACAGCGGCTGGCGACAGGTCTCCCGTAAGAGGATGAGACACCACCACCGCGTAGACTTGCTCGGCGATCAAAGACTTGCACACGCTCAGTGCCATTTTAATTGGATTGGAGTCCATTTGAATTACCGTGTGTTTATAGGTCACTCCCTTCCTCACGTATTTCGAATCGAAGTTCAGATGCTGGAAAACCGACATAACGTGACTAACGCTTCCTTGGAACAGAGCGTGTCCTTTTACGAACAAAGGTACACTGTCGTTGGTAATTTCGATTCGATTAGGCGCGCACTTCCGCTCAAAAGTCTTCGGTAAAACGCTACCATTTACGATGAATAGTGAAGCTTGACCTACTTAGGTATTACTCGTTTGATCGGAGAGTAATTAACCGAGCTTGAATATTAAATTTTTGGAATAATAACCCAAGACTTTTGAGACCGTTCAATCAGCCGAGTGTAAGGTCAAGGAAATTTATTCGATCGTTTAACCCGACCAGCAAAGCTGTATGTAATGATAAAAAAAAAAACAGAAAAATTTGTAAGACAAAGCCGACGTTGAGGGTCTTTAAGCTGCTCGGTATTAATGAATCTACTTTGGGAAACGCTCGGTCGCGTGTTACTTACGTCGATTGTTTTCCTGAAATGATCTTTGCTCTCGTCGTTGGACAATACACCGCCGATCTTAAAGAGGGTGGGATTGTTGGCCTGGCGTGCGGCGAGTCCATTGTAGGCCACGTCGTTTAGGACAATCAGGAGCAGGAATAATAATACCCCTTCGTATTTCGCCATCGCGGGATTCGACCTATGGCGGAAAATAGACTCGTGGAACGTTTATCGAACAGCTGGGAATTAGAAAGCAAAGGACAACTTGGATCCGAGTATTTTTATTAATGAACACAGATGAAACCAAACTATACTCATATTTTATACCAAATTATCTTGCATACTAATAAGAGCAAAAAAAAAGGAACTTTTAAGTTAATCAGAGCGACGGAAGGTTTCATTTGTGATAGACGGGGCTACATCACAGCGGGGAACATTGCTTTTACGATTTTTCAACAAGGTTCAACTACTATCTGTGCCCTAGTCTCTAAATGAATACAAATAACGAACTTGGCAAATACAGAGTCACGAAACACGCTTGCAACGGTCAGTCTACGGTCTCTCGAAAATGAAATCTGAACGTACCGACTGGAGGCCACTCGCTGGTCGTGTTCACGCGATTGTCAGGAATTTTACTGTCCTCGGATACATTTGGAACTGTTCACGCCCTTAACCGTTGTCCCCTAACGAACGGAACCAGCGTTAACGTCGAGCGCGAAGGTGGATCTGAGACCGAACACGGAGACTCATTGATCCGTTCGGATGCTGCGCACAGACTCCGTCCCCACTATCACAATTTTAGGGTGTTTTTGTATTTTTTCAGGGGATCCACATCGTCCGTTAACAACGATTTCACGTTCGTTTCCGTTCCGCGGTCGGGGCGATCGATTCAACAGGAATTGCGTTTCAGGAATTCTCCGATAATGGTACCGGACAAACTGGGTAATTATTTCATTCGACGTTCGATCGTTTCTCTTTAACAAGCCCCATCGATATCGACGATGATTAACGGCGATGAATAATTCATCGACGAACGAGCCCAGAAGCGCAGTCGATGACGAGGACGACGTCCACGGAGACCTCTAAAATTTTTAGCGATCCGTGACGTCTTCCCCGAACTCGTTCTTCATTTATGAATAATTTCCCCCCCACCCTCCCCTCTCCATTCGAACACTAACTGCAGCAGTCGTCATCGACGATCAGAGACTTTGGTCCGTCGAGCGACACGCGATCCGCGCAACGGCAGATCGAAGCCGCCGCGCGGAAGATCGATTAGATTTACCGATTAGATCCCCTCAGGTACCACGCGACTTTCGATTTCAAACGATATAACTCGTCGTTTAAGTTTCAGTGCTTTTGGCGTAGTTACAGCTAACGAGGATCTCCGCATCGGTATTTAAAGGGTTGACTGCAAGACCTAATTACGGGATCAGCATTTTATTATTTGTACCAGTTTGTGTAACCTCGGACCTAAAACGACCTGTTTTATCTATGTGTACATGGGTGGCGTGTTAACTTCCTGTTAAGTCAGTTAACCCTTTATCGGTCGGTAACAATCGGTGTTCTGTCGGCAACGCTTACCGACCGATAGCTTGGCAATCGGTTGAGAATCGAAAATGTTGGTAGATTTAGAACGATAGAACGATTTAACGTTTGTATAGGTGCAAGAAGAAGCATATATTCTGGGCTGGGATCGACAGTAGAAAGTAAATCGTGAACGAATGCATTTAGGGTGCATTCTTGATCGCGCAGCTCGTCGAGAGAAAAAGTGAACGTTAAGCGGTTAAAGTCGCAGTCTCGGGGCGGAAAGTGGGTCGGGGCGCAGGACAATAAACCAACATCCCCCCCCCCTGTATTGTTTCCAGCCCCACGTGGTGGCGACTGGCCGCGAGATGCCAACGCGTCGGCGGACGGCTGCTTATCGATCCCGTAAGTTTCCACTCGGTGGCGACCTCATCTGCGTGCGCAGCCGTTTCATCTCGGTTATTTACCAAGCACCCTTAGACCTAGTCAGGAGAATCCTGGAGAACGTGTAAATGGTGAGAGGGACGTAGTCGAAAGGACAGGTAACCGTGAACAAGAAAGACCAGAAAGGGGAGGACCGCGAAGAGGGTGCAAGTCCACGGAGGCAACGGAAGCTGTCCAAATAGATACCGAACCGTGGTGCTGTCGCGTAACCAGCCGACGTGGAGACGAGAGGACGTGCCCCGGGGGTGTTACGTGGCGGAGAGGACGAACCAACAGACGTTTGACTATCCTCGTCGGGGGCGTAACGGGACCGGAGGGTGACCAGCACCAGGTGAGCGGACAATTTGCCGTGTGAAGAACAAACCGAGAGCGGAAAAGCAACGGTAACTCCAATGTATTACGGTCCCCCTCGTGCGAACGAAGCCGTTGAAATATGTCGCTACCACGAGAATGGAGCCTGCAGGATTCGGTCGAACGTGACACTGTCGCCTGTGCGACAGCGTCGCAGGAGATGGTCGGGGCTACCATCATCGACGAGAACATGAATCAACAGAATCAGCTGGGCTCGCTGTTGTCGATCCACTCGGCGCCCATATTCGACCTGAGCAGCGGCGTGCCGTCGCCGAAGAGGCCAGCCTCGTTGGCCGTGCAGGCGACGGCCACGTCCACGCCGATCGTGCCGCCCCATCTTCAGAGCCCGGAGACCATCGAGGACGAGGACAACGACAACCTCCTCACGATATCGAGCCTCACCGCCAGGCCGTTGATCGCCAAGTCGAGGGAGCTCAGATCGACCAAGTGCACCACCGCGAAAAAGAAAAAACCGAGAAGATGCGAGACCAAGAAACCTAGGAACATCACCTACGTGCCGTTGGACGGCGGTTACGGATGGGTGATCGTATTCGGGGCGTTTTTCGTTCAGTTCTGGGTGGCGGGGCTGGTGAAGTCCTACGGGGTGTTGTACGTCGAGGTAATGGAAACGTTCAAGGACGCGACGGCGTCGGTCGCTTCCTGGATACCAGCTATTCTGTCCTGTCTCTGCCTCGCCCTGGGTGAGTAACGGCCGTCGAGGTTGCCTAGAATCGATCACGGATGCATCCGTGATCCCCTTATCCTTGAACGTGTCGTTAACGGTTTGTTTGTATGTATTCGACTCCCGTACGCAGCGCCTGTGACGAGCATGCTGTGCCAGAAATACAGCTGCAGGACGGTCGTGTTCATCGGGGGACTGTTCTGTGCTTTAGGACTAACGATAAGCTACTTTGCCACGAGCTTGGTACATCTCTTTTTTACATTTGGAGTGTTGACAGGTTCGTGAATAGATCGCATGTGCGTTGATTTACCTAGCCCTACTATAGCCCGTCTGACGGACAATCGCACGTTCCAAGGCCAGTCTGAATGGGCATCGCGGAAATCTCGCTTCTGCATTTTTTCGTTCGTGAACCCACTGGCGTTGCAATCTTTGTTACGATCATACCTGTTTATACTAAAAATCCAATCTTATCCAGTGGGCTCTTCTTGTAAGAATACTCTTACGTTTATATTTTTGTGACATCTATTTCAACTCACCCTCCGCACATGTACGATATACGTATACGTTACGTTATCGTCGTTACGTAAGGAAACGCAGACACTGCGCTAAAGTAAAATTGCAAACAGGAGTAGGCTACCTATACAATATTGCTGAAACACGTTGGGAATATTACCTTGCAATTTTTCGGGTGACCCAATTAAATACCACAGACTTCCATCATCAGAATTTGAATAAAATATATTGTACAGTTTACATAAAATAATTACAAGAGTTTCAAATGTTACAGTATAAAAGTTTGATGTTATCAATAACGCACAGGATGATTCCAGAAACTGGGACAAGCCGTAACACCTTCCTGAACGAAGACACGAATTATTGATACAGGAAAAAGTCAAATCCCACAATGGGGACTACCCCTTTGGTTATATAATTACTGTCGGTGCAACGGTGCACGTGCGATATAGACACGTACTTGTCCTTTAAACGGGACAATGCAGTTTTTACACAAATCAATACTCATGCTACGCAACGAAAGTATCAAGATCCTTATCATTGACAATAGTTTACGATTCCAGTTCTAATATTCCCGCAACGTTTCTGCAATATGACTTTGATTTTCAGACAATTGTAAAACTATACACCAACGTTTGTCTTGGTACTTATTCTTGTAACCTAGTGTCCTATCCAAATTCATTCGCTTCCATAGCAAAAAGCAAAATTTGTCGGTCCGTTCTTGCGTTGATTGGGGATGCGACGATTTCAGGTATCGGCGGCGGTTTGTCCACGACGCCTGGCATCATCATCGTCTCCCAGTATTTCGATAAGCATCGCGCCCTGGCGAACGGTATATGCGTGTCGGGCACAGCGGCGGGCAGCTTCGTGTTTCCGCTTCTGATCGAGGTACTGGTGGAGAAGTTCGGTTTCCACGGGACGATCCTACTGCTGGGCGGTTGCATGCTTCACGTGTGCGTCAGCGCCACCCTTTACCGGCCGTTGGAGAACAACTACGCGCCCGAGAACGTGGTCGTGGCGTCTGCGAGAAACGAAAAGGTCGAGATCGCGACGACGAAGGAGTCAGCGACGGCGAAGCAGCAGAAGCTGGACTTATTGTTCGCCAACGACACGACCACAAAGCATAATCTGTTGAACGAATTATTCCACCAGAACGGCGTGGTGGCTGTCGAGATGACCGACAGCGACGAGGAGAAGGACGTGATAGGGGAGTGTCTGAGGATGAAACCGATCTCGAAGATACGTAGCTCCAGTTTGTTGCACAGCGTCGAGGACTTGTCGACGGACTCCACGTGCGTGTACAAAGCCAGGTCGTCGTTGAGGTCGTTGAGGTCGTCGGTGACGGCGGTGTGCCCGGCACCGCAGGCGCCCGAGCCGCAACCGAAGGTCCCGAAGACCATCGTCCAGAGAATAATGCAGTACATCGATCTTTCTCTGTTGAAGAATCCACAGTTCATCATGATGTGTTTCTCGGTCAGTCTCATGTCGACCGGGAGCCCGTATATGCTCTATTATCTGCCGGCGTACGTCCACGCGGCCGGTTACACGAAATCGGAAGCGGGATACTTGGTCGCCATTTCCGCCGCGCTCGACTTGTGCGGAAGACTGGGACTCGGATGGCTCTCGGACCTGCAGCTGTTCGATCGACGGAAAGGATACATTGGAAGGTATATCTGACGAGAAATAAGGTCCACCCGATTAAATAAACACTAGGAGGGAGTTAAAAACGTAAAGGAATTGATTTAAAAGTTTACCGTTTCGCTCGACCCATGGGAATCACATAATATTTCGGATGTTCGTTTACTAATTTCTTTCCCTTTTTTCCGTGACCTGTCCAACAGTGTCGTTGGCGCTGGCGTAGCAGTATTGGCGATCCCAATGGCCCACTCTTTCTACGTACTAGCATGTTCCGTTGGCATGTACGGATTATGCTTGGGCTGTTGGTTTCTTTTAGTTCCCGTCCTTCTCGCTGACCAATACGGAACTGACAAAATATCCTCCACCTATGGTCTCGTTAGGATGTTCCAAAGTGTCGGAGCTATTTCTATCCCGCCTTTAGCAGGTATTTAACGCGTCCATGATTAGAGTATTAGAACGCTTTAGAGGATTAATTACGTTTGGATCGATGAATTCAAAGGTACTAAATTCTGTACGGTAGTGGCAAAGGTGTTTGTTCGGTGTCTGTAGACCAGGTATTAATGCCGGCGGTATTGTCGTTGTTAAATTAATTTCAGGATACCTACGCGATGTAACTGGAAGTTACACCGTATGTTTTCTCTGCATGGGAACGTGCATGGTGATGGGAGGTCTACCTCTGCTCCTGGTTTTTAACGAAGTATCGAAATCATCGAAGATTACCGTTAATGCCGAGAACGGTAATACGCAAGGAGAGGCGACTGTGAAAGAATAAAGATATTTTGCGAATGTGATTAACGAAACGAACGAATGTGTAATAGAAAACTAATAAATCGCAACATTTGTCGCTACAATTATTCCACTATGATGTATTGCTTGGTTCAGTTGTATCCGACAAACAGATAATTACGATAAATACCTCGGTCGCGGCAGGTAAGGGTGATTTTAATAAATTTTTATAAATGCACGCCTATAGTTTATTGGTAAATGAACAATTCATTTACACTGTTCACGTTTAAGTAAAAAATCTTAACGTAGGACGAATATTGTTGTATGTACAATGTAAAGAACTGCTTCTAAAAAAAAACTGATTTACAATTGTAATTTGCCTTATATTATATTATATACATATACATAAACAGTATGTACATCGTATTTACATGTTACGTTATGATTATTTGTAGAAAACGAAGAATTGCGGCAGGTTCTGCGATGAAAACGATCTTAGTAAGAAATACATATTTTTCATACAAACAGATGTAATTAAACACAGTGATCTTTAATAAAAGTTATATTCTTTTCACTTATATCGCCTTAATATTTATATTTGGAAGATTAAATTATTATAAAACGAAAACAACATCCAAGAGACTTGGTAAGCTTTTTACACGATATTCAAAAATAAAGTATAAAGAATTTATCACAGTGTATATATAGTTATTACAAGTAAAAAGCAGTCTATTGTAATCTATCTTTCTGTTAAAGAAAACTATGCATAATTCATACAATTCGATACTATTAATTTATACATAAAATTACACAATTCCGCGTTAATGCTGCACAGTGTAATTAGTTAATTATATTTTAAACTTGCTTTGATATCAGAAGAAAATGATTTTATCAGAGTATACCAATAATAGATGCTAGTAATCCTGATTAGAGACACATTAGTAATAGAAAAAAAAATCAGGTTGGTTTCCAGGCAACAATACTCATTTTGTTATTTAATTCTTGCAATATCAGAGAGCATGTGAGTTGTTTCTCTGGCGACAAACTATTAATTCCTTCCATTTCGTCATCATCATCTAATCCATTACTACTCCCAGTTTTTCCTTTGCCTTTACCTTTTCTTTTCTTTTTTTTATTTAATTGTCTGCAGTCTATATCACTAGCAACATCTGTGGCTTTCCTTATCTAGGGTGATTCCAGTTGTACATATTTTTTATTTTAAATCTTATCCTAATATATATTTAGAACATTAACCGGATAACATCTTACTTTAGCGCTTTTCTTTGATTGTTTGTCATATTCCAGAGCGTCGTAATAATTTGGTTTCTCTCGTTTAATTCGATTGGTACGCCTAGTTTTCATTACACCGCTATCAGGACTAGGAGGACTCTTAACAGAATTGCGTCTTGCATTAAAAAATGAATGGCCGCATGGACATGCTTTACAGGCCACAGGTACCTTGATACACAAATTCATTAAATTAATACATTTAAAAATTATATTTTAACCATATAGAACAATAATAATAAAATATGTTAAACTTTATATTAAACTATCTTTACATTTCACTCTGTTACAGCTATTAACACATTCTGTTGGAAATCCATCCAACCTTATTAAACATAATGCATGCTTTCAAATATACAATAATAAAATATATTTAATAGGTCAACGAAATATTTTTAATGTAATATTTTACATAATGCGTAAACAACAGATATAATGTGAAACTGTACGATATTATTAATATTCGATCATTAACCATTTTCGTACGGACACAAGATTATTACGAGTCATGCAAAATTACCTGCTGTTCACATTTTGGGCAGCCTTTACTGATTGTTTTCGTCTTTGCCATATTACAGAAATATATTTCATGAAGATAAGGTTATTTACAATTTAAAAATTTGACTAGGAAAATATATCGTTAAACCATATAAAAAAATAATGATATCAGCGCACAAAAATAGCTTTTGTATCGTTGAAGACACATTTTAAGAGCTCTCACTGTAACGTTAAATACTTCCCCCCTCGCTCGGCATCACGCTAATAGGTAATGACAGCCCGTAATGAACAAAAGGAACACAATAAAAATTAATTCATACTTCGATTGGCAGATGGCGGTAAAAGTCAATTAGAAGAATGCACCAATCACAAAATTTTGTTGTTTCAATTACAAAGGTTGTTTCGTTTGCGTTCGTACTGCTACGCCCGACCATTCTTGATCACCAGAAATTAATATTTGTGTTTTATTGCAGCGGAAGTGTAAAATAGATCTAAAATAGAGCATTTTATGGAGAATGATGTCGCACGAACCGAAGTACCGGCATTATGAAAAATCAGTGGTTATGCAGCGCACCCCATTGTAAGGACGGTGACTCCGAAAACCAAATTTCGTTCGTACGATTCCATATTTCTACCGAAAATTTAATTTTCTACCCGCCACAATGAATCCCCGATTGTCGTTTAAGGTAGTATAAAAAAATAATTCAACTAATTTGCATTTCAAGTTTATTCAATTCATGTACGCATACATTATTATTACAAATATCTTTTGAAGGTATTCACTATTTCTAGCAACGTGTGTCGTTCTTAAAAAACATCTCAATGTGCTTGAAACACTTATTTAATCTTTCATACTCTAATCTGGCACTTGTTATAGTGAGACATTGAACTTTAATATTGAATCAAGATATGTTGATAACGACTTAAGATCTTATATCCTTCTACTAGTGTGCCCAAAACTAGAATTTGATTTATCAAAACAATTACGATATTTTAACACTTGTTGAGTAATATTTGAATTTAGTAGTTTTATAGTTAAAACAACTTTGCGTATATTTTTTCTATTTTATCTAATGATATCGAGAAATTCAAGAGCAAAGAAGCCCCTAGTATTTATAAAATAATCGGCGCCAACAAATAACTTTATTACAGGTATTATCCCCGTGTCTGCTGATTGTGTAATTATTATTCGACTGTTTTCACGACTGCGCTAATTCGTATAGATACTACGCGATAAGCTTTAACGAGTTTTGAACAATTTTCTTATAATATTATAAATTATTTCTAAAACTGAACTACATAGTTCGTGGATGTACTCGCGATCTAAAACTAAGAAGCATGAATTCCTATTGTTCAATTAACGTTAATGGAGTTTATTGTGCATTAACGTATCGATTTTGTAATCTTCTCATCCGTATTTTTCCATGCCGTTCAATGTAATTTCTGCTTCAGTGTCATCCTCCTCCTCGATTTCCTCGCGTTATGGTTCTTAATCGGGTTCATTAACTGTACAGCCTGTCTCGTCGCTCTAACGTTATTTCTGAAGCACGTCGGAAAACTTTCGTCACGATTGTTGTTCGCGACAGCCGTGGCTGCCCTGTCGAGCATCGTTCTATTTTCGATGTCTAACGCCCGTTCCGGATCCATCGGTTTATTCAAAACGCGACGATTTTTCTTCAATTTTTTCTTCCGATACAGTTTCGTTGACGGAACTGCATTATTCAGCCGCCGTATGAAAGTCATCGAAGTCACATCGAAATTCTCTTTGGACGCGATATTAATAGCAACATTTGCAATGTTATCGGATATGTCTGCATTCTCGTCGCTATCTGATACGCTGGTGGTCGAACCGTCGATACGTTTGTCCTTTACTCTGTTCTTTCCTTTTCTAAGTTTGTATCTCGTTCGGCCAGAGAAATAGTCATGCCTCGTTGATTCCCCCCCCCAATATTTCGCTGGTTCGTCACCAGTCGCGATATACGACCATCTACGGCGGACAGGATTTTTCGGTAATCTCCTCGCAACACGAGAAGCGATTAGTTTATCGTTTCCTGCGTCATCGTGGAAACCCATTCGAACGGCGTTTCTCCTCGTTTCGTCGTTAAACATCGTTTCTGGTAACGCGTATATCGCCGCGTTATCGCCGCCACGGCTATTCCCCTTCGGGATTTCATTAACATTTACTATCGCCGCGTCGTTTGGCTGTTCAACAGCCGTTGAATGTGACGCTTGCTCAAGGTCACGTTTGGAAACGACTGTTTTATTTTCCACGCGCGTGCAACAGCAATTCTCGGAATCGTGAACGACGTTGCTCCTTTGTTTCCACGCCGTGGGACACTTTGAAACGCGATCCCTTCTGCGTTCGCGACTCTTTGTATTTTGTTCGTTCGGGGATTTCTTACGAGTACAGGGACGTGTATTTCGATCGATAGCATTTGCATAGATCGATGCTACCTTCAAATAAGGACAATCGCATTGGCAGCACACGAGCTCCATGTCTTTCTTCTCGGCGCAATTTTGCCCGCTTAACTGCTCGATACGATGTCTCGATTTTTCAAAACAAACGCACAGTTTATGCCTCGCGCGTTTTCTCGCAACATTCGATGGATCGGGTACGCAAAAGTCTACGGTTCTCTTAGCAAAATCTAACCTCTGCGAGCAACCTTGTCGATAAACGTTCTCGCAGTTCTGGCACAATACGCACGCCGATACGTTTATTCCTTTACATGGAACGTTCGAGTCAACGTAATTCTGTAACTTACAATTGCAACAAGCTTTTTTAGGGGTATTCAAATTGATTTTTTCCTTTCTCGTTTCTGGAACGTTGGGCGCAATTTTCTTCCGTTCTTTCGACCGTTTCAAATTATTTCTGTCAACAATTTTCCCTTTGTTTTTCTTAATCTCCTTCAAAGTGTCCTCGAACTTCCGTTCCATTCGTTGCTTGGCCAGCGACAAGTTTAGCCCGTTCGTGCCGTCTTGCGACAGATCTTTCTCACCGTCAACATGTTGTTCGTTAAATTGACGGCGACTCTTTACAGAGTGTTCTATTTCAGCCTCGTCGTCCCCGTCGTAATTGCTGGCAATTCGCGTGCAAGTTTTTTTGTTGCGAGTGTTTAGCCGTCGCGATCGCCCGACGCAACGTCTCCGAGGGTAAGACCTACATTTCCATGGATCAGGAATTCCTTGCGCGAAGGGCAAACCTAATTCGTTCCATAGTCGGTCAGTGGCGAGGCAGCTGACGTAACGAGGTATCAAATTTTTTTGCTGAACACGTGCCTCCGTTGCACCACAGTATCCTCTCGAGGCTAAATTTTCCCTCCAAGTGTCGGGAATGCCGCGTCGTACGCAGCCAAGATCGTCTCGCGCAGAGCAAGACGTAACCGCGAGAAACGGATGGGTTTTCAATAATTTTGGCGACACGAACGGACCGCGTACTACCTCGCGAACGTTCAGACCTTTGTTCTTTCGAAGTCGATTCGGGGATGTCCATTCGAGCGTCCAACCGGTACAAATTTTAAACTCGTTCGATTCCTTCGTTCGTATTCTCTTTTTACCCTCGTACTGAGTCCTTTTTACAGGGCAGCCTTGTCGGTTCTTGATATATCTCGCCACTGACGATAAAAGAATTACTTTATATTTGCATGTTAAGGAACCGTACGAGCTTCTTGGTTGACTTAACGCATGTATTTATATTTTTATGCAACCATTATATTAGAAAGTGAAAAGCCAAGTCGATTGTAGAAAATGTTTATCAAGGTTTCTTACTAGCTAGATACGTTGTGTAATTCAAGTATTTTGTATTGCAGTGACAAAACCAGTGAGGTTATGAAATTATAGTATTTTTTACATTGTTTTTATGTTGTAATTACAATTAAGCAATTATATTTCGAGGACGTTTTGTTCCTTTCTAAGACTATTATGTTTATCCGAGACAATATTCCGAGCGCTTTTTAATTATCCACGCGATTAATATTCTGTGAACAATTTTTTTGTTTTGGAACATCGTTTCTAATGTTTTATTTGAAGTAGGCTAACATCCATCTGATACATAATATTGTTTTGCATTAAATTGAAATTGAATCGCGAAATTCTTTCTTAATCTTCCTTGTCCCCCAGACTTATACAGGGCTACCAGTTACGCATATTGCCAACATAAATAATCATATACTTCAAGATAAAATCAATTGCGTCGGTGCAGTGAAGTCAAGTGGAGTATTGTGCAAAGTGACGAAGGAGCGTTTCTGGTGATCGATGTCAATGCGCACATAAGCACCATGTCTTTATTACGTTCGTTGCCTGTTCTTAACAAAACCACCAAATTAATATCGCGCAGCGTTCCAGCTGTGTCTTATCATCCAAACGTAAGTGCATATAATATTGGTTTGCGGTGTCGTTCATAACCTCTCAAAACGTACGTCCTACGTCTTAGCGATCAATATCGTATAGTTGCGTCTATTATTGGAGTATGTATATAGAAAATTTGACCTTGATATTTGACTTTTTAAACTTGCGTTCTTAAATGCGACATTCCAAATCTGTACCATAATTGTTTCGTATTGATTTTCAAAGAATATTAGGTTATGTTTATATACTCTCTTGAATTTTGTATGTAAATTACCTTCTCGAAAGTTTATTGATGCTAGACATTTACGCGAAAGATGCACAAGCAAGCGTTGATTTCTAAATTATAAAAAATATTAACGTGTCTTTACTATTCATCGTCATAATTTTCTAGGTATTGGATCACTATGAGAATCCAAGAAATGTAGGCTCTTTGGATAAGGATGATACCCGAGTTGGCACTGGGCTTGTAGGTGCCCCAGCATGCGGAGATGTAATGAAGCTGCAGATCAAAGTTGATGAGAATGGAAAGATCGTTGATGCTAAGTTCAAAACATTCGGTTGTGGATCTGCTATTGCCTCGAGCTCATTAGCCACAGAATGGGTTAAAGGAAAGACGGTAAGTAATGCCATACTTTTGTAAATACTCTAAATAATATATGAATAATCGAGTGATTTATATTATAGGTTGACGAAGCATTGAAGCTAAAAAATACTGACATTGCTAAGGAATTGTGCTTACCACCTGTCAAGCTACACTGTTCAAGTAAGTAACATTTATCGTTAAATATATAATTTTATTATTTTTGAGGTACAAAAGCTACTGTGTATGTTTGTAAAGAATATTTAAGAATTAATAGTTTACTATACTGATATTGGCTGCATTAAATTCCATAAAATTTAATATATATTTCAATTAAAAATTTGACAACCGATTAATTGTGTAAATGCAATTAAAATAAGTTACAAATTTAACTCTTTTTTTGTATTATAGTGCTTGCAGAAGATGCAATTAAGGCTGCTTTGTCAGATTATCGTATAAAGCAGCAGGCAAAATCAAAAGATAATGCTTCGGCTTAAACTTGAATATCCGATATATTCTAAATAGTAGTAAGAAACATACAATTATGTAACATATTAGTTGTGGTTACTATAGCTAGTGTATGTTAGCTGTCACTATACGTTTAGAGACTCTAAAGTATTGATAAATTATGAACTGTGATCACAAAGTAAAAAAAACTATTATATTTCATTATATATTTAAAGTTCCGTGTAGAACCAATTAGCTGTGCTATATTTTCTTTTATGACGGTAAATAAATATATTTAATTTAAAAAAATTACTTAATATAAAACACTTATTTACATATTAACGCGTTTATTAATTGAACTATTAGCTTAGCGACGTGCACATTTATTGGTGCAACTTATTTTTACGGGAACTTATTATGCTACTAACGATGGCGGGGTGAGGGAAGTGGGGAGCTGTACTGCTTATCGATATTTTTTATTTTTTTAAAGATTGCCAGAAAAACTCGATATTAACAATAACTTCGTCCACAGTAGGGACAAAAGAAATCGGGAATAATCGCTTTTTTCGTAAATGAACTCCGTGGTGAAAATTCGTTCACGATTCGGTGGATTCTCACGGCTTTTTCAATGTTTGTGCAATAATAACTCTCTGCGTGTTCTGCAATCGGCGCGCAATAAAACGTGTAATAGCACAAATTCATTGCTATTTCCTCGTAGCCGCGATACTCGATCAAATATTTACTCGGTTTCCTGTATCTTTATCCGTATAGTAGAATTACATTCCCGGAGAGAGGTTTCCAAGAATAAGACATCGATTCGAGCGATTAAAATGGACGCGTTGGACGCGTGAGTTCGAAAGTGAGTCGGATCAGCGACACGAACATCCCCTTTTGTAACTGCCATCGCTACACCAATTGATGCTTAATAAGAACGAATATAAACTGAGTCATATGCAGTTACTACTGTCAATTGCGCGTTTCAAGATAATTTGCGAAGAGGAACAATTAGCTCGTTAATTCGTAATTCGCATTGACTATGAATTTTCACATTGTCAACAATATATCGTCGTCGATTAAAACTACTCTTATCGATGCGAGATAGACGCGTATTGATCTATCGGTTTCGTCAACTGTTTTTTATTAACTGTCGGGTCGTACCGTTGAGCAAAAGCCTTTTAACCGCTAACGAGATAATTTTGCCGCCTTTAGGCGTATTATAAAATATGAAATTACATAATCAGAAAAATGTACCGTGTTTTCAACCATTGGAAATATTTCAAACGCGCTTATCGCAATTCTGTAGATTCAACGAAGATATCTGTTACGTATATAATGGATACATCAATATAAAATCACGTTATACGTTTCATATAAACAAAGCGATAAAAAGTGAAGTGTGACACTTCGAAGGCACTCGAAAGAAGTGGATCATTTAGCTTGATCGAATAAAATTTCTTCGACTTCGAGAAACGTAAACTTTTCGATATTAGACGTTCGAATCAATAGTACACAAGTACCTTCTCTTATTTCTTTAAATGAATTTAATTTATTCTCCTTTTTTTACAACTAAGAAATTATTAGGAAATAAGTATGTAACGTTATAATAACACGATATCGTTTTAAATATTACAATTTGTGAAACTAATCCGGTATTGTCCGGCTGAACACGTGTTGCACACGCGCCATTACAAATATTTCGTTCTAATTCCCTGAACAGTCATCATCAAATGTGTGTACACGCAATAGCTTCTCTGACAAACACGGTGTCAGCAACGCGCGATATGATTGAAATGATGGAATCTTGCCTGGCTACGTAACAAAGCAGTGACTGCGTAGAAATTGTTTACATAGGTCTGTATTGATAATCATTCGCCTCGCAGTTTACGTAAATCATCTTGCAGTTCAAACAATTGTACATTATTCGTAAAACATACGCGACACGTGCATTTTTCCATCAAAATTTGGGTCAACGTACGAACGAAAATTCACGCGTCGATATACTCGTTGAATATGTAACGAATAATTAAAATAATCCATAAATCCATCTGTTGTCGAGGCGCGTTAAACAGAAGCGATCCCTCAAAGTTGGTTCGTCGAAACCTCCGGAAAGGGACCGATAGATAGTGATTTTTCAAGGAGGTTAGTAAACCCACCGATGGGTCGTTTAGAATTTACCTTTTCGCGATAAGCCGGAACGCGAATCGCTCGTGACGATAAACAGGCGTCTTTTTTCACGATTGGTATTCAATATCGGGCACGAGGAGGGCTTATCTGCGCTCGATGCTTGTTTTCCCTACCTCGATTTCTCTATTCCCGAAGTGGGACGCATTCGCGCGCAACGAACATTAAATTCATATGGGGCGTTCCGGTGAGAGGACAAACTCCTACATTGGCCCCGGTTCGTTCTCTGGTGTCCGTCGTAATTTTCCGTTCCCTTGTTCCTCGGTTTATTCTGTTCTCCTCTATGGAGGCTCGACGTACAGAAGTTAATAGAGAAAGAGAGCTAGAAACAGGAAAGGAGAAGCACAAAGAGAGTATACCATTCGAAGGGGGGGGGATCGTGAAACGGCTGGAGGGAAGAGCGAATCGGGGAAAACGCGGAGGGGAATGTGGTGGGAGGCAGGATGAAGTAGTGGCAAACGGCCCTGCGTGATACACAGCTGATCGGTCGTTCCGTGACGAAGGAGCTGTTTTGGTTGCGCGTGTTGCATCGCGGGTGGCGATATCGTTTATTCTACACGGGGATGACAGTGAACCGCGATTGAGAATCCCGTATACATGCGATTGTTTGTGTGCTCTATGCAATTTGACAAAGTATCGGGAGCAAGAGATACGGGCGGCGGTGTAAAACCAGTTGTTATATTGCTCGCAACATCGGCGCATTGCGGATCGTTGTCAGTGGCGTCGGGTCAATTGCATCGCGGATATTTTCCTTTATTTCGAAGGAGATCGTTAACGGAGAGAAGGTCTATGACCGGATCACGAAGAGGTTCACCTTATCAGGGGAACAAAACGAGCCACGACCTAGGTGTGACCAGCATCAGATTGAAATTGATGAAGTCCGAGGTAATCGGGGAGGAGGACACAACTGCTGATCCTGCAGTTTGTGAACATTGATATCGGTGCGCTTGCAGGTCCTTGCAATAATCAGTTTCAGTGTTGTAATTCACCGTGTTCCGTCTATCTGCTAGCTGTCGTTTTTCTTTTTCGTTTTTCCGTGTTCTTTTCATTACGTTTATCCGTATGCACGACCGTACACCGTAATCGTGCGTTAGATTTTCTTTATTCGCGGTATCAGCGATCGGTTTCGCTTTTCCTTTGTACAAATATATTCGTACGCGGATACATGCGTATATGCGCGCGCGCGCGAGTGTGAACGTAAAAGAAAAGGTCGATGACAATGCAACGAGTCCAAGATCAAGACAATGGAATCAACATCAAATTCGGGGCGAGCAAAGGCAAGGGAAATTACAAGCTTGTGGCGCAGAGCGCGGAAAACGAGAAGGAAACTAATCTCAACGGGACCAACAAGCAAGGTATATTGTCCATTTAAATTTATTTATCTTTTTTCGAATGGATCCGATGGGCATTTATTTTTTTACATTCGTGGCTCGAGTTTCGACTGACGAAACGGAAATGGGGGTAACAACGTTTCGTGTTATTAATTTCTGCGTCGATGCCTAAAAATATGTTACGCTTCGGCTGTTGATACTTAAACTTTCCTGGATAAATTCTATTAATAGATTTTATCAGAGTCATTGATTTTCAACTTGTTCCTCTGTTTTTTCGTCTTTGTTTTTGTTTTTACTTGTTGAACGGAACAAAGTTTGCAAAATATTTAGGGCCAAGAAAAGTTTCAGACACGACGTCCGATTTCATTTGAATAAAAACAATGTGTAACGATTTATTCGCGATGTTTATTCGATTTAACAGTCGTTTATGATATTCTATAATTAGATTTCTTATTTTTATTTATGATATTTTATAATGAATAAAAAGTCGTTTATCTTTTATTCATTATTCGAAGATTCTTATCTACATGAAGATTTTACCCATCTGTTTTACATACTCTGAGATTAGAAAGCATTACAACATTTATCATTGTCTTTTAACTGTATACAAAAATAGTATTAGATGTATAATGTATAATTTTCATACATTTCAAATCATTGTTTTATTATGAATAAAACAAGAAATTTTTAAACAATAAAATGAGCAATATGATCCTCTAGTAGTCTTTCCAACAGAGATGTATTATTTTGTTCTTCAGTTAAAAATGTAACAGCCGAAGAAGAATTAGTTCCACCAGATGGAGGATGGGGTTGGCTTGTTCTTTTAGCATCTGTCATGGTCAATCTTCTTATCCCAGGAACAGTAAAATCATTTGGTGTTCTGTTTGTTGAATTTCTTGAAGTTTTTGATACATCACCCTCTACAGCTGCTTGGATACCAGCTTTGTGCTATTTTCTATATAGTTCGCTTGGTAAGATTTCCATCAAACATCTAAGATCACAAATTAAAAAATTAACTTGTATTATTCCTTTTCTATAGGACCTCTTTCCAGTGTATTGTCAGTTAAATACTCCTATCGAACGGTAACTCTCCTAGGGGGAACGTTTGCTGCTGCAGGAATGATGCTGAGTTATTTTGCAAACTCTGTGGCCTTTTTATGTGTTAGGTAATTGTATTGCCATTGATGAAAATGCATATCTTCTATATATATTGCTTTAAATGTAACTATTGTTTGCTTTGTTTTTAGTTACGGTGTCCTGGTAGGAATCGGGGCAGGACTGGCTTTCCCACCGACAGTGTACATTGTAACTTCTTACTTTGTACGGTTACGTGGGCTTGCAAACGGGCTCTGCATATCCGGTAGTGCATTGGGTTCGATATTCCTTCCTCCCATTCTTGGAGTTCTTCTACGAGAATATGGATACAGGTATGTCTTTTGTTACATGTATGAGTAAACAGGTACGACTCTATTTTTCTGCTAAACATTAAACTTGTAATTTTAAAAACAGGAAATCATTATGAATTATTGAAAATGAAAGTTGAGATTTTTTATCATTATTTCAATATGCATTTATTTAACAGTATTTCATTGGGTTGAATCGATATAACAACGATATGTTATGTATTTAAATTGTTTCGAATATGTTTTTATTTGAATTTAATAACTAATTTTTTCTCAATCGCCCTAAACGAAATAACAAAATTAAAATACGCTCTCGTACATTAATTTTTAATTAATTTTGACAAAATTTAATATATCTGTGATTTTGTGGCCTTAATTGTCCCATTTTGATGTAATTTGTAACATTGGAAAAAAGTGTGTTACAAAAGTACAAGACATTTGTGTATTATTTACGTGCATCTTCTCGTTCTCGTGAAGATCTGTAAATAAAGTGTTATTGTCGTAATATTTTGTGAAGATTATATTTGGTGAGTATTTTTACATCATTATTACAATTTATTAAATAAATGTGAAGTTGACTGATGTGCATGTTCAGAAAGTTCCTCCCGCGGGTATGTTCAGATAAACCACGCGTGAATTTTGTGCAAACAATACTGTTATACATCTCTGTAAATTTACAGCTATTCTAGCTGTTTTACAGCTTTTCTGTCAAACGTGTTATCGCTAAAAATAACGAACATTAACCGTTCGACGTTTGTACGGTAAAGTGTACACACGTGTAAAGAAACGTCATCGATCGTAGAAGAATTGCTAGTTAGAATTACTCATTTTCCTGTTGTAATCGAGAAAATTAATATACTAACCCGGGTGTCTGCAACTGAAACGGCACTTGAGGTCATAAATAATGAGCCGCTCCTGGCGTGTTTAGGTAAGAAACCTATTCAGTTACATGCGTTTATTTTTTTTTTATTTTTTTTTTTATGTTTATTTGTATCAAAATCGTTTTTCCCATCATCGAACATTTACATTTTGAGTAATATGTTTTTCCACTATTTTAAATTAGAACCAACCGCAATGTGACCACGATAAAAAAAAAAAAAAAGGACGCAAGTACACCTAGACCATAAGTAGCTTCCCGTGGTGACCTTCATCTTAATAATGACGACTTTAAAGGCTTCGTACGCGATCCTTGCAATCATCAATCCGCGATTTGCTAAATTCGCCTGATTTTGTCCCCCTCGCCCCCCTGTCGTTTATTGTCACGTTTAAAAATATCCTCTACTTTGTCGAATAGCCCACGTACTTGTATCTTTTACCCCGATACCCCTGACGATACGCTTAATATTTGACGTTCCATTGCCAAAAAGTTTCCCCCTCGTATAAACACATTTTAATCAAAAATAAAATACGGATGTGTGCATAGAAGATAACACTTCTTTTTTTTTTTTTGTTCGTTATTTTCAAAACGAATTTGCTTCTCGTGCTCGTCGAAACAGGAAGCGAGAAAAAAAATCGACGGAATAATCAGCCGGCGAGGCGAGTAATTGTGTACATGCAAATATCTTTTGTTGTGTGCATACGTAATAATCACGTTCGCAAGAGACCGCGGAAACGTACGGTTTGACGTTGAAAGTACTTGCACATTTTTACGTGCACACGCATTATGGAGCAAACGCGTGATGCTCACGTGTTTGGTGTTGGAACGTGTCGCGACTTAAAAAAAAATACACACGATAAAATTGAATTTGCTCGTTTAATTTTATTGTTTCGAAATTGCGATAACCGAACAAAAGACGATTTTTTAATCGAAAAGAAAAAAAAAAAGAAAAATTTATATTTTATCTTTTTGGTCGAGACAGATGCTCGTTGCTTGTTTCCTTGTTTATTTATCGGGAAGGTGAACGTGTGGGTAGACGTTATCAATTGATCAACAAATATGAGTGTATGTTAGTTGATAGTTCAATGTAAGTCAAAGTCAAAAATTGCACTTCGTCTGTTGTCATCATTTATTTTCCAGTTTTCTTTCCAGCAACAGAGGCACACTGTGCTGCCGCGTCGAATGACTTTTCGACGAGAGAATTTATGGTCGTTAAATAACGAATATCTCGCGTATCGAATAAATTCTAATCGCCGCTAATTTGTGGAACGCGTTACCGCGTGACAAATTGAACGTAAACCATTTTATTTATACATATATACATATATATATACAGTTCACTTGAACAATACGTTGAATAGATACGTAAGATCGAAATCTCTGTTCTGTCTAAGCGTTCCCTTTATTTTTCTTTTGTTCCAGAAAAAATGTGTTCCGTGGAAGAGGATAGGGACAAAATGCGAATTTCGAAGAAGATGAACTTCTCATTACGCAAAGAATATTGTACGCGATCTGAAACACGTTAAAAACATAACTTCTTATTATTATTTTTATATTTTTTTTTAAATTTTTTTCACGAAATTTCAAACATTTTTGCATCACTCTAATCTCTCGAGCTGTTCTCCATGTTCTGCACGAACGCATCTGAGTCACTAGTTTCCTACATGTTGTTTGTGTTTTATGTATATTAACTGTTTCAGATTGACGCGCAACATCGGGTATGTCATTGTCTATCTGTGTTCTAATTGAAGAATAATTACGGCGCACTAGACTCTGAGATACTTGTACCAGTACCTTGTAAATTGCTTAAATCAGTTATGTAACAATAGTGTTAAACTAAGTCTCGTATATTATGGAATATATAAGACTTTATGTTAATGTGATAATTTTATCTGTGATAGTTTACAAAAGTATATGGAATTAATCTACTTATAATATTTAGCGAAATTGTCGACGACAATGTCTCGTATGTTATATGGATTAATTACTACAGACTGTATTAGCGGAACTGTATCTGTGGAGTACCTGTAATTCATGGTATTAACTTTTATATAATTTTTTTTTTTTTATAAATAACGATAAGAAATGGAATGTTATATGTTCTGATTATGTAATCGAGACGTATGCAAAGGAATATAAATAATAAAGCGTTTCTATAAACGCTTGTATTTGTTATCTTCTTAATTATTTTCGTTTTATTACATCATAGTCATTTACATTAAGATCCTCATAAGATCATCAAATATTTGAAAAAATATTTCCTATTCCATTCCATACTTATACAATTGTCGAACGAATGTATTTGTATAGTAATTCCATTGACTTGTAACTTGGATGTAACATTCACTATTTACGAGTGTGATAGAATTGTCCGAAATACGTCTAGAGAACTTAACGCGCCTACGTCCTCTGTGCCCGTCAGGCTTTTGTAACACGAGTTCGATTGCAGCGTCGATTCACTAATGTTCGTACCGATTCTTTTCTTTAACCCCGACAGCCATGGAATATCCTGATGACGATATTGTAAGCTATTGCATTCCCGATAATAGACGGAAACGTTTTTGCTAAAGTTTATTTTGCTTTTTTACAGAGGTGCGGTATTAATAATGGGTGCTGTCACTTTGAATGTATGGGCGAGTGCTCTGTTATACGAACCGGTGGAAAGACACATGGTGCCCGCTTCGACGTCGAATAAGTCGAACGACGATGACTTGGAAGCCGCATCGATAATCGTAACTAGTCCCGAGGACGAGAAGAAATTAAGTTGTATGATTTCTTACGCGGACTCGAACGAGAAGGCTGCCCCGATCGTACCAAAGAGCGCGTCTAGCGTCGCATTAGAATATTATAAGAACACGCCGGTCCAGACGAGGACGAGAAAGATAAGCATGCCGACCGGACGCGAGATAACGGGTCAGATGCACAGCACGCCAGCGCTGCACGCGGTCCCGGAACGCGGCGGTGACTTTGGGAAGCTGTCAAGACGGAAGTCGCCCTTCCAGTCGCCGAGCACCTCGTCGTTCAATTACGTTAGCACCCCGTATCACGGGAGCACTCTGTCCGCATTGCACCCGGAGAGGGCATCCACGCTGACGTTGAACGCTATATCGAACACGTTCACGAGAAAGACCGCCGACGAGACGAGCAAAGTCGAAGAGAAACCGCAGAACAAGTTCTTCGATTTCAGTTTACTCAGGGACCCGATATATCTCGTGATCCTGATCTCGAACTCGACGAACGCCGTCAGCTACACGAATTTCGTAATACTGCTTCCCGCGTACGCGAACTCGTTGAAGTTCGACAAGAACAGGTCTTCCCTTCTTCTCTCGATAGTATCGATTTTAGATTTAATTGGACGCATCGGCGGCTCCGCTCTTTCCGACGTCTCTATAATGCCGAAGCATTGGTACTTCGTTGGTGGTCTGTTCATCTCTGGTATCTCGTTGGCCGTTTTGCCAATAGCCACCGACTACGTGATGCTGTCGGTCTATTGCGGTATATTCGGTTTGGCGTCCGGCATCTACGTCGGTATCACCGCGGTTATCATGGCCGACATGTTGGGCACGGAGAAGCTTACGTCCTCGTACGGTATCTCGTTATTCGTGAACGGTATCATACAGCTGATCGGCCCGCCGATCTGCGGCCTTATATACGAACAAATCGGTAGCTACGGTCCGATATTTAGCATATTAGGTATCATTTTAGTCGTAGGCGCATCATTGTGGGGTTTCGTGCCGTTCATTAGAAAGAGACAAGACGCGATGGAGAAATCCAGCCGGGTCGAGAAATTATAGTTCGTTCGTGTACAAAAGGGGTTCGCTGTCCCGCGGTTTGAGAAGATGTTTCAATTGTACGATTATTGTAGAAGTTCATATAGCGTGTCTCGGTATAATAATAAGTATATAATTATGAAATACTGTGATGTTAGAATGAATGTTATTGTATATTCTACTGGCACTGTGATGACGTACGATCCACGCGCACATTTTCAGGTGGATTGTCGGGAAACAATTTTCAAAAAGATATATTTTTATGAAACACGAGAGTTTCTCTTTTCTCCAAATTGGAAAGTATCTTGCCTTACGAGTGCGAAAAGAAAACAATTACTCTTTCGAAGTAAGTTCTTATTAAATACTAAAAGAAAACACACATAGGAGTAACTAAGTACTTAGATCAAAGCGCACTGGCTGCTGGTGCTATTGTAACTTAAAGAACAGAATGCAATAATATAATTTAGTGCGCGTTAATTATCTTAGCATGTACGTAATTATGAAGAAAAAAAGAAAAGTTAATTACTTGTTTTTACACTTCTCTTGAGAAAGGGATAAGCATGTATATAATTCCTTAACTGTTAAAAAAACACTTGGACATTTGAAATAGGGTCAGTAAATTTTGTTATCGATTAGATTTGTTTACAATTCACCGAAAAATATGCCTTAAAAGTAAGAAATAAGCACTTTGTAATTAATAAATTACATTTATAATACTATACAATATGTAAAATAAATGACACCAAGTACGCATATATGATTTTGTAGCAATCCTGTGAAAATGGGCAACTACTTATATTCCCGAGGTTAATAAAAAAAAAAAAAATTAATAGTTTGTACCTGCTTTATTCAAGGGTATACTAATAATAATAGCGACAATCAGTTTTGATATTACCAAACGAATGGTAAAATGAATGTTAAAAAGGTGGCCCTTTCTCTATGATTTTTATATATACTTCCTATGTGGAAAATTTCGACAATGTGAAATTTTTTTTTTCTTCCAAGCTATCAGAAAACATCAACTATATCGTATGACTTATTTTTTTTTCGGTTCATCTTCGGAAGATGTTGGAAGTGAACGGAAATTGGGGAACTGTTCCCAAGGTGCAGACAATTCGAATCTACGAAATTCTTGCGCCAATTCTAGCGGTTCGCATACCACCCTCTTCTTCTCGTCGTCGTAGCGTACCTAACATAGGAACACGTGTTTTATATCGCTTATTATACATTAAATATATCTACGAAAGTACGTTAAATTATATTATTAAACTACCTCTACGTAACCGGTCAGTGGAAAATCTTTCCTCATCGGATGTCCTTCGAAACCATAATCTGTAAGGATTCTACGTAGATCCGAATGACCGGTGAAGAATACACCAAACATATCCCACACCTCCCTTTCGTACCAATTGGCAGCATCGTATATCTTTTCTACGGATTCCACGGCAGTCAATTCATCCGTATAAGTCTTTACTCTAACGCGTGAGTTGTATCTCAGCGACAGTAGATTGTAGACAAGCTAGAAGTCGCAAGATTAGGAAACGATATTTATTACAGAAGATATTAATATATAAATTAATAATTTAACAGAGCCGTACCTCGAATCTATATAAACGTGTAGGAACATCTACCGCAGTTATATCTGCCAAACAAGTAAATTGAGCGGTATGATGATTTTTCAAGAATAACAATGTCGGAGTAAGGCCATCCGGGGCAATTAATATTTCAAGCTCGTCGCCGGCAGCTATCTGCACCATTTGCACATACTTTGGTAAACATTCGGCAACGTACTGACCAAATTTCTTTAAATTCTCCAACTCCACCTGAGTACGTTTACGTATCGTTGCTATTAGAAAAATAGAATATTTTCGTAAATTATAAATACATAAAAGACCATATATTCGTGGCATTAAACGATGATCAAATATACAGTGAATAATAATGTTACGTACGTTGTGTTTCTGTTTTTTCAGTCACCGTAGTGGACGTTCTTATCGAAGGAAGAAGATTCGGGTAACCTGCCAGTTCAGTTAATAATTTATTACATAATACGTGTAAGAGAAATTGATGGATTATCGAAATAAATTTATTTACATTTCGGAGCTGTGACGGGAAAACTGCGTGAAATCTTCAAACAGTTTCTTAACAAAGACGTCATTTTTACTTTAAAATCCCAGAACACTGACTTGGAACACCTACACAAATATAGGCGACATTCGTTTACCACGCACTCTAGAGAATAAAATTGACACACACGTACAGGGGCGGTTCTCTGCGAATAATAATTAATAATCAAATTGAAAATTTCTATTCTTCGTTGCCTGATTATTTCTTTACGATAAAACCAATTTCTTTATTGATCAACAAAATCTAGATTTTTTTTTTTGGTTTTTTGAACGATTTTTCATCGAGAAAATTTTTCAATAAGTAAAATTAGACGAGGCAAGGTCCGGTGAATAATATAATCGTTGTATTAAAATTCATACAGATTAGAACGAAAGTCTATGGGGAGTGTACTTTGTTTTATTTCATTATTTACATTATTACATATAGCAGTATCCTTGCAATATAAAACTTAATTCTAAATTGTCTTGTTTACATATTACATGCAGTTAAAACGTAAAAAGAGATATGATTATCAGCTACACAGAATGTTCTTTGAAGCACACTGTTGTTCAACCTTTTGCATTTCCACAAGTATGGTTGCTACAGCATGCCTCAGTTGATGGAGTTTGGGCAAAGATAATTCGAATATCTGATGTTCACCATTGTTGAATGTCCATTCCATTATAATATGTGGCTCCAGAACCCTATTTATAGTGCTACAAATAGAAAATTTGATAAGTTATGCTGATATTAAAAATATACCTCAATAAAAAAAATTGACATTGATTAGACTAGATGTAAAATTACCTAGAAGAGATGGTGATGTCTACACGCCACTTGCATGATATCAAGTGTGCATAAAATTTTGATCTATTTATCAAACCTGCTACTAGTTCTGGTCGTTTTTGACCGTACACAATGGTAGACAAGTCATCGATACAGTCTGAAGGCAATCTAGAAAATAATGTTGGTTAATAAATTATACAGGGTGTCTCAGATTTCAATGGTCAAACTTTGTTAGTATATGTTATAGGATTAGATGAAAATTTTGTATATAAACATTGGTTGTTTAAAGTTTCATTTAGACCCATAGAATATGTTTATAAAATTTGGCCATTAAGTAAACAGTGGGGTATGTACTTTAATTCATCTAATATTTGTTTGAACTCAGCAGGCTTAACATTTTGAGAGAGTGTGCCTAAATGGACTTTTAGTATTGTATGAATGACCGAATAATATTCATCCACAGATTCTTCTGGCACATTATACTTCTGACTTATCCTGTCCAATATTCCTCCCTCTATGTGCTCTTGATTTATTGCTTTTACAGCAACTATGAAAGATAAATTTCGTAATTATTGATATTATGATTATGGTGCATAAGTACAAATAAACTTACTTTGTATCAAAGGACGAACAAACACCTTTCTTAGCTCGGGGAAAACCTTCGTTCTGTTTCCCAACGCGTGCAAAAGTTGAGTTTGAAAAGTTGACATTTTAATCGCGAATTCGTTGTTTATTGTTGCTCCACGGATTACAGAATGGAAATACGAATTACATACATTGGGTACTGTAATTGGTCATGAGTTAATTTCTTTAGTCGACGAGTTTATGTGATAAGTAGGTTAGGTACATTAAATTATTAATTTCATAAATAATATTTTAACTGTTGGATTGATCATTTCTTTGTAGACAAAATGTACAGTAGAATGGTACAATCGGAGAGATTATACGCCAACAAAATATTCAAGATTTTAGCAGAGTAGTTTCTCTTTCTAGGCACAGATGCCACCACCTACCACATATGCTGTTTGTTTTGCATGAATTGTTATTGTTTAGACGTAAATTACAGGAATTTTATTGTTTTTTAACGGAATGAAAGCTGTACGGTCCAGAATTGGTCGTCAATCGATTGATTGCTGAAATCAATCGATTGAGATAATTTCAAGCTTAAAAAATTATTAAAATACTACTATTTTTTATTTTAAATTATAACGAAGAGCTGCCAATTGTTGAAAAATTTAGATATTCAATTTTGTTTAGTTCGAATAAAATAAATAGATACTCTAATCAATTCTATGAAATATATAGGTTAACTTTAATAACAAGGAGGGTAATAATTATTTGTAGGGTATATATTAACGTAACATTTTAATTTTAATCATTGGTTATATTTTCCATACATAATCTCGTGTTTTTCAAAGGAATCTTTCGACACTTGCATGCTGGGAATATCTGGCCAAAAGCTTGAAATGTAAAATCATTAAACATGGCTTTTATTTATTTCTCTTTGGGTCTCCAGTCGCAACAACCTCCTCGTGGTGAGGACCTGGTAATCGGTGTTAACCACGATAAAGAGTTAATTTTCATTGGATAACTAAAAATTAATTAAAATTTTGATTTCATCGTGATTAACACCGAGCCAATGGTTGCGAATTAAAAATAACTTCTTTAAATATCGGATAATACTGTTAATACTACTGTAAGACTTGCTCTACGCTTGCTAACTTTGTCGATTTTAGTAGTTCAATTGACCACTCGTTTTTTTTTTTACAAAATCGTACGAAAGGAACAACTTAATTTGACATTAATAAAGAAAATAAAAAATGATATTATACTCCTTTGCTCATCATTCAGACGGTGAAAATGGTTTATTTAAAACTTACAATTTACTTTAGAATTGGATTACAGATTAAGATCTATTTTTCCAATAGAATCGGACTAGACTATCTCTTCAACACGTCGACAGCCACGCTGGTTTTCAACGTCAGGATTATCAAAAATTTTATAATTATCAGAGTTCTCTCATTGTGCCAGTAACCATCATGGCAGCCAACGCGTTAAGCTGTAAATAAGGGGACAAGGTAATCAACGATACAATTGTTCAAATTCTTTGTTTTATTAATTTAACACAAGCAATGGTACTCTCGTAGCTTTCTACTCGAAAGAGTAATATCAGAAGCGTAGAATATTTGTTCCGTTCATTTCAATATCCCTCGTTTGACCAAGTGATCTTGTAATCGGTGAATTTCTTCTTCAGAATGTCCGCGGACATCTCGTGATCCGCCTTCCCGAATCCCTGAAAGCACAAGCAAATTACAATCCTAAAAGCACAAGTATATTACAATCTTCCAATCGCATATATGTATCGTGCAACATTTGTATTCATGAAACGCTTCGGAGAATGATTGGCTTTTAAATTACTCTTGATCCCTGGCCGAAAAAACAATACCCCAGGCGATGTTAAAATTGCTTCCTCTCGATGCTAGTTTGGACCCTCGACAATCACACTTTTTTCCTAACATTTAAATTCGCGTTAGGTTCGATTCAGACTCCACTGTACATTTTTTAAAAACATTTCGAATTTCGACACTCACGCTTGATTTTTATTAATTAACACGCACTCTTTAAATTCACAGTTTAATCGTCGAACAGCCCGAAAGTTTCCATTTATCCCGATTGCCTCGAGTCGTGTTACTTTGCCCAACTAATTTCTTCCCTTAACACTTTACCGACCGATAGCGTATTAATCAACTTCTTTACCGACCAACACTTACCGACCGATAGCGTATTAATCAACTTCTTTACCGACCAACGCTTACCGACCGATAGCCGATTAATCAACCGCTACCGGTCGGTAAAGTGTTAATTAATAATATTGCAACGTCATTACGCGGAACGATCAAGGCAATAATAACAACAGGCTTCGCACAGCGTATTTGGAAGACGTAATCGCGTTTTTCTCCCACCACTCTGACAAAGTTTCGATCCCTGTTTTTTGTTTCCCCCGCGGGAAAGCTCGTTTCAATTTATTACCCTTATCCCGAATCTCCTTTCTAATCGACTCCGGTATCTTCGTGGAAACACTTTTTTCTTCTTTTTACCCGAAGACCACTCGATTTTCCTTCGAAGTAACGAGATGTTTCGAAGGAAGTTAGGTTACGTTTTCCCTCCAAATTGATTCGCACCATCTGGCTCGTAAACGCGGTAACTACTTCCGGCGGAACGCGGCGCGGATGCGCGTCAAAACGAGATCGATTTCCCGCCATTTCGATCGCGAAAGATTAAGGGAATTGATTGGGGGGGGAAAATAAAACAGCTGTTGCTGGAGAATTTTTCACTTCTTTCTGTAAACGTAATATCGATATCGCCACGATTAGAATTGTGTCCTGTGAACGATTCGTCGACGAGTATTTTTAATCCTGGAGGGTGGGAAGGTACTTGCACCTAACCTAGAGGTTAGGTATTCACCAGATACGTCCTTTGATCGATTAGATCGACGGAGGCGACGAGGCTCGTTAGGACGTATTAATTCCGCAACTCACCTGCGAGTCTCCGTAGACGTGTATGGTCTTTTTGTGGCAGTCGTGGATGATTCTTCCGCCACCCACGCACTTCGCGTACAGGCTACGGCTCCCCGCCCACTCGTCGGAAAACATGTCGTAAATGTCGGCTGGAACAAAGAAGCGAACGACTCCGTTTATACAGGGGATCGCTGGAATCGTAGGCGTGCTGTGAAATTATATCGTAATACGAAAGCTGTATAACAAAGTTAGGCTGTAATTGGCTGAGTTAATCCGGCGGCGATAAAAATCTTTACGAGGGACATTGAAGAGGGAAAATCGCAGCCAGGAAACAAAGACGCGTCGATTAAATCTTTATTGCCCGGTGGGACGACTTCGATAGAAATGGCGTCGCTAGTGTCGATGTATCGCGATTATTTACGAATTTCCATCTTCGAAGTATTGAAGGTTAGGTTTCCATATGATGGGGAGTGAATTGTTTCACTGTTTTAGATACAAAAATAACGTGATTCCTTTGCTACTATCGAACAGAATAATACTTTTTTAGGGTTTTATTATTTATTCTCTCGCAAGCAGAAGGCTCACACGCGCCATTCGTTTTGTCTGTTCATATACCAACGTTGCCAGCTTTCGCCTAATGCGTTGTTGCCATGGCTACCAGTCACTCGCACCAACCGATTAAAATAATTGTTACCAACCCTTTTTTTATTAATACATTTCTATCTCGAAAACGAAGCCAAATCGACGTGCATATAATATTTTTTGCTCCTGAAATCCGTTAAAGCTGTATTTTATAAACGAAGCAGACTATGGGGCACGCGACGACTAGAACTTTTTTTTCTTTATATAATCGAGTAAACCCCCGCAACAATGCGCCGCATTAAGAGTGACGCGAGTTCCGTTTCGTTTCGTATTTCATTCGAATTGTACGTCGCGGACCGAACGCGAAATAAATGCAACGAAACAAGCATTATTTATTGCGATAAATCGTTCTTTGATGATCGTTTGTTTCCCCCATGACTTTAGTATTGGCACTGTCGATTCACGATCAAATATACAGGGTGTTCGGCCAAAATAAGACGAAATATCAAGAATACCAATTTGTTGATGGAGGCTTCGTTAAAAAGTTATTAACGTTTAAAGTTCCGACGGTAATGAATTTTTTTCCCGAAAATGAGCAGGATTTCGGGGGTATGTCTATTCATCAAAAATAATTGTAATCAACCCCCGCAAGCAAAAATAATTTTTTTAGAACGATTTGAAATTTTTTTTTCCGTCAAAAAATTTCGCATCTTCTCGAATTTTTTTCTGGAAAATGAGCAGGATTTCAGGGGTATGAGTAATGACAAAAAAGGATTGTAATCAACCCCCGCAACCGAAAATAATTTTTTCAAAACGAATTGAAATTTTTTTTTCCTTCGAAAAATTTCACACCTTCTCGAATTTTTTTCTGGAAAATGAGCAGGATTTCAGGGGTATGAGTAATGACAAAAAAGGATTGTAATTGACCCTCGCAACTGAAAATAATTTTTTTAGAACGTTTTGAAAAATTTTTTTCCTTCGAAAAATTTCACACCTTCTGGAATTTTTTTCTCGAAAATAAGCAGGAATTCAGGGGTATGTCTATTCATAAAAAATGATTGTAATCGACCCCTGCAACCGAAAATAATTTTTTTAAGACGATTTGAAAAATTTTTTTCCTTCAAAAAATTTCACACCTCGAATTTTTTTCTATGAAGTGGATAGGAATTCGTGGGTATGTGTAATGACAAAAAATGATTGTAATCAACCCCCGCTACCGAAAATAATTTTTTCAAAACGAATTGAAATTTTTTTTTCCTTCGAAAAATTTCACACCTTCTCGAATTTTTTTCTCGAAAATGAGCAGGATTTCGGGGGTATGTCTATTCACCAAAAATGATTGTAATTGATCTCTGCAACCGAAAATAATTTTTCCAGAACGATTTGAAATTTTTGAATTTTATTGTTAATAACTTTTTAACTTTTTGAACACCCTGTATACGGGCAATTGTAATTGAAATTTTTAATTTAACTAAGAATAAGTAGAACGTGGACAGCGTAAATGTTGCTTTTCGAAGGCTGATTATAACATCCGACCTAGTACGAGTGCCATCTTCTTTTCTCTGTACAGTACATCGCGTCGTTTCAAATATAAACGAGTCGTGCGGAGTATCAAAGCTTACTTTGGGCGGTGAATATTCCGTGAGATATGACCGAACACCAAAAGCTTAAGACTCGAAACCAACTGAGAAGCTTTGCTCTTAACCAACCATGCAAAGGTCGTGAACGTATAGAATTAAGCGTATACGCGTGCCAGCTAATTCACTATGGCCGTGACATCCTTTGAGGTGGTTTCGAACACGGTGTATCGCGTGTTAACGCAGAGAACGTTGCTTGGAACAGCGATTCCGACTCGAGAAATTTTTCAGACATTCCGCCCATTTCCATTCCCCCAGAAACAATTTTCCAACGAAGCTTGGGGCTCGAAAAATTGGTCGAAATTTTTATCAGAAACGAGAAATCGACCGGGGTATCTACGTAACGAAAAAAATACAAAATTTTAAAAAGTTTCGGGGAGGGGGAACCAACTCTCTATTTCGTAATCTTCACGGGAGAATTTGGCGGAAGTTTCTCCCCCCTATCGTCCCCTCTCAAGGAGGAATTCTGCGACGCTACGAGACTCGGTGTAATTTCGCGTTATCGCGCGCGAGAGGTTCTTATTTTGTTTGTTCGTACAGAGAATACGTTATCGTCCCGAGAGAGAACTGATCAGATAAAAACCAGAACGAAGCATCTTCTTCTACCTTCCCCCGAAAAAAGATTCCATCGTTTCTTGGTCATCTTCAGGAAATGCCTCTTTTTTCAACCCTTTCAGAAATTCTTACGCGTATCGATGAAAAACAATCGAACGCAGAGTTCGTGAAAATATTTTCGAGGCAGCTCGGGGCTGTACAGGGGAGGACGCCGTAGTAAATCGAGAAAAAAGGATTTCCAATTCGTATCGGGTCCGTGAAACGGCGGAGGGACGAGGCAAATCGGACGCAAGTTCGTTTTCCTCGACGGTAAAGGGAACCCATGCATATTAAATACGATTTTATTGTTCGGGCGTACGGGCGACCAGCTAATATGAATTCCGTCGAATAAAACCGCAGAGACAGAAGCTACGCTCGCAAAAAACTTCTCTCGCCGCTGAACGGACGAGATTGAAAAGGGGAGGCAGCATTTGCTTGTCAGGAGATCGATGCCCGCGTAAAGAAATAAATTAATACTCGTATTTTCGAAACGATGGAAAATTAATTCCCTTTTTTACCTCCCGTGCTCGCCGCCAGAGGGCTACGCTCTTGCCTCTCTCGCAAGCGCTCCACCAAAACTGTGATCTATCTCGTTTTCTCGCGTCCATAGGGTCCGCTCTCTATATTGCCAAAAGTTTCTCATAGCAACGCAGAATTAATGGGCCACGCACCGACGTGACGTACCAAGATAAATGCTGTCCCGTCAAAGTTTCACGAGGCAAGGAGGCAGAACCGGGGCGAGACTGAACGCCTCGTTTGTCACGTGTCCTTTTTCCCCCGCGCGGACATTCTTCTCACGAGAACCGGTCGCGTTTATATAGGCCACCGGGAACCCCGTACGCGCGGTTGTGTACCGTTGGCAATATGGTCGGAGGCAGGGTTGTTACACTGTGGGAAATTACCAGAAATCGATTACGAAGGGGCATCTATCGGTCTCACGGTGGGTACTAAAAGCACGACCGGGTAAATCGCTAAGTGCAAAACACGGTAAAGGCAGAGGGACCCGGAGTGGCTTCCGGGGGTTGCTAGGCGAGGCGTAGAGCCCGGTTTCCGGGGCGTTGAAAATTCGGGCTACCTTTGTCGGGGGTAGCGTCCCCCCGGCCGTCTTGAGGTCTTAAAACGTTTGAAGGAGTTCCCCAAGAAGCGTAATACCCTCGATGAAATATTGATAATCGCGTTCAGGGTGGATTCAGCGAGGATGACCGGGGATCGTGTGATTTATACGCACGAGACGGGGTCGATTTTATTGGCGCGGTTTTCCATTCCCCGCCGGGCGAGATTTACGACATCGTTTAACGTCCGTGCCCCGTCTAGTAGAGACACATTGCACCCCTCGCAGATTATGAGATCGTTCGTGGCGTTGGAGGAAGATCGTAGGAAGGATTAGACGACGAGACACTGGGTAGTCGATAGTGGAGGATGGTCGAGCGCTTGCGAGAGAGCGTGGCCCTCTAGCGGCGACGTCACGTGCTTGAAGCGACACAGCACTCTGTTCGTGCACCAGGAAGTCGAATCCAGGCGCGGTAACAACGCTGGTTTTAGCGAAACAAGCAAAGGCGATCGCTGCACGCTGCGAATCGACCGACAAACTCGCTGGACCGACGGAACGGCGGAAAGTTCGTCGCGCGAAAAAGGTCGGGGGAAGTTAATTAGAGCGGAATTAATCACCGTCCCCAAGTTCACACGAAGGCGATGGGCGGAAGAACAAGTTAGAATCCTAAATATTGTGACGATAACTCGGTGCAAATTCTTGGAAAATGGACAGGCAATAAATAATAATTTTATAAGAAAATCTTTCAAGGGCCGAAATTTGAAGTAAACTATACGGTTCAAATCGCCATTGGAAGATAGTTCGAGCTACGATCAGGCCTCATAGGAGCCTAACTGGGAAGAAGGAATGATAACGAGGGGTTCCAGGGAGTCAGAATATCAAATTTAAATTAAATTCTGTAAGATTGTTGAACGTCAAAATGACCATTCTGAGCAGAGAAATCAGGAGAAGAAGCATCGTCGCGATAGTTATATCCTCGTCTCGGTTAATGTAGATTTATGGTCGAAGTCTGCAGGCAATTTAAAGCGTGCAGTATGCTCGAAACGCCCACGCTGGTTTAGATAAATCGCGAGTGGGAAACGAAACCTTTTGATACAGTAACACGTCGGTTCCTCCACCGTTGACCTTTCATGATCTCGCGTGTAATCTCCATGTGGACTCAAAGAACGACGATAAGTCGGAACGAGAGGGCGTCGAGGACCAAGTTTCCCCTCGATCATAGTTTACGAAAAGCGTTATTATAACGCGACCTGAAAATCAATACCGTGGGTGTTCGACGGGGAAA